ACATGTGAGCGGGAAGATGCGGTGCACCCAATTAGATGAGCTGCTGAAGAGAAAGGCCCCACCATTGGGCATCATTGGGCCACGACATACTACCAGACGTGGTTTCGCACAATTCGCGATTTCCCAACCCGGCGATTTCCAGAGCCCAGGGACGGCCGCGGGAATTCCATGTCCTTGCCGTAATTTGCTGGAACATTCTCTTTCTGAGAAGCCACAGCGGGCCAACTGGCCTTGGGACTCGTCACCCACTCAGGGTCCGGGGGCACTTCAGGTTGTCCACGGTTGATGTCTTGATGAACCCCCGGCCGACAATGCACAACTCGCAAACGGTCGGGGTGGCTACCTCACTCAGGTAGAGACTTGAAGGATTTTCATACATATAGAATCTTTGCCGTCATTTAGCAGCCTGATTGAAGGAGAGGCAAAAGACCGTGGAGTTTGCCCGGCGAGGGACAAGTCAGAGAGGAAAGCCCCTGGCTGCCCTGAGCTGAAGTGGAAAGACACGAACCATCAAATATCAACAACCACTCCGTGACTCGCAAGACTGGCACTGCGACGGGACGAGTGGGATCGCCTCAGCCATCACGCGTATTATCCTCCTTGTGTTACCGACGTACTGCCCAAGACGGTTACATAGCCTCCGACCACCACTACCCGAGGCAACTTGTCAACTGCTGAATTTCGAAACACCCGGGTGCCAGTGCCTGTGCCTAGAATCAGGCGGGGCCGGCGTTGGATGGAGTCTTCTTTGTCTCTTTGGAGCCCGGTATGAGCCTAGGAGGGCGCAGGACACTGCATAATCCCTTTCCTGTCCGTTGACATTGGTTCTGCATGGTTAGGATCCATAACTAAGTACCTAGATGACTTTGGGCTGAGTCTCTGGCTGGTCATGTTGTTGTTCCCGCGTTAGGTATTCTGTTCGTGATACCAGTAGTAGCCTCCAAAGCTGCATCAGCCAGCAAGAGGAGATCGGCAGGCTGGCTGTCGGGTGGATGACCGGAGCCTTCGATAATGGTCCTCATAGGTTAGCAACCATGGCTTCCGAAACAAACCATCTCTGAGCTTCGCTCCCAACGCACAGCTTCACACCCAAGCGGTGAAGGATGGTGTCACTTAGGCTTCTGAGGACGCGTATAATACACCCGCGGCATCCAGCTCTTGAACCTATTTGCTCCCGTCTGTTCGTGTTTCTACGGACACGAACGCTGCCTGCGCCCCGCCGCGTTTGTCTGCGCTTCTCAGGCGCCTGGTTACCGTCTACAGTAGTTTGTAGAGTCACGATCCGTCCGCAAACTGACCGGGCGGCTTGGCTTCACGCATAGCCGCATGAATTGAGGGCCAGCTGTGGTCCGACGGACTGACGTGGTCCCATTGATTGTTCTTTCGCGCCATATCCGGGTGGCGAAAATCGCGTCAGCGTTTCGTACGCCTCAGGTACGGAGGACTACTGGGTAGCGTGAGGAAAGCCTTCGTGGATGGCTCTATGGAATGAGCGGTCTCCCGACAGGTGTTAAATGACTCGGAGGCGGCCAAATGTTTGGCAACAAGAAAACGCGGTACGTTGCCGTGTAAAACCCGAGATCAACCTCAGATGGCGTACCGCATGCGAGATGGTGTTGGATAGGGTTCCGCCACCACATGCCCAACTCATACCGGAAGCTTTTTGGCGAGGCAGTGCTGTTTTCGTTCTACAGGGTGGCATTATATTTCGCCTGTGACCTACGGAGAAGCCTAGATGGGGAGTTCGAAACGCTCCTGCCTTCAGGGAGTCCCTCCACTTATGAGTAATAACGAGGTGCTTTGGACAAACCAGGCTCGCGGCCCAAGCCCAAGTGCCAGGAGAAGGCCCTCCTTGATCTGATGCTCTGAGTCAAGAACCTGAATGCCACTGCTCCGACTTTGAAACCCAAGAGAACACCCACTATGTCCTCTGGGTCTCCCAATAAACCAAGATGTGTTCCTCTCCAGCCCGGGGTTCAGCCAATAACAATCTTGAGCCAGGTAATTTGCTACGACTCTGCATATAAAGTTCTTCCAACTTCAGCGCTTCAAGTCCGTTGCTGCTGTTTCTGCCCACGTTGCAACTTCGAAGTTATCATTCCAACTGTTGAACTCCGTTAGAGGAAGCTCCAGATGATTGTGTTGCTGGCACATGGCTACTTCTAGAAGGCTATAGCTGTGGCCCTCTAGTTGGCCAGTTAGCAGCCGACACTGACAACGGCGGTGACATTTCCTTGTTGGTTTCACATTAGTGCGGCCAGTTGTGTGAATAAGGCACCTTTCGTTGAGAAGAATCATGGACCACCAGCAGCAATGGCCGAGGTAAAATGTCTGCTCCGATGCTGTAGTTAATTTTACGAAGAGTGTCAGTACTTCTGGTAAATCCTTCAGTTGTTCAACTTAAAGTATATCTCTCTGACTCCGCATTTCATTCAAGTTTCTAATAATGTATTTACAAGAGAGACCCGTTGTTTTAAAGCAACTAAACCTGTGATTCTCATCCACATAAGACAGATAAATTGCGGCAAAGCTGTGGAATATGCCCTTGAGACCTAGGGAGGTGGCCTAGAGGTTGTGATGGATGAGTTATAGTTTCTCTAGCCCCGTTCAGCGTCCAACTGGCATTGCCCTTATCCCTCTCAGCTTTTTTGTCCAAGACGATAGTCCTCCTTAAGGAAGTCGCACTACGTTACTGTCTCCAAAATACACAGACGATTAAGGCAGCTATGCTGATGCCATTCTGCGGCCTCATCAACTCGAACTCCAAGGAGATGGCACTGATTACCTGTACGTCCCGCAGGAAGGGGCTCTATCATGCTCCGGCATGAAACATACTCTTAACAGGAATTACCCGTGAGCTCATGTCGTTCCTTCAGTGATACACAAGGTACCTTAAGCGCATCTTTCCAAGCTTATCGAACCATTGCTGGTGTAGTGTAACATATTCTACAGTCTGACAACGCTAGCCGGTCGGAAAAGTGATAGAGCCAACTCTGGCTTGGAATGCGAATCTCAGTCACGTTATTGAAGCTTCACATTCGGCCGTAGTTCCTCGAGTTCGAAATTGCCTTTGCCAAGCCTCATAAGCACTGTTTGTTGTTGACACGCAAGTGGCTACTACAGGATTTGGCAGCGCTTCCGAGTGCCGAGCCTTCATCCTTTACCTCAGGGCCGACACACCACCATGTAAGAACATGTCAAAAATCAAGCGCTCTGGTGACAGGGGCGACAATATATTCCCGACGGCTAACAGAAGAACGAGTTTCATGTTGCGAGGGTCTGACGACGCACGGTTCGGAACCTGACACACTCCAGGCTAAGGTACTGTAGTTATATTGCCAACTGTAGAACTGTTCTCCGAATAGCGCTGATACTTATGTGATGCATTCTACGAGCCGCACGCTGGTGGAAGAAGAAGCATCCACCAATTCCTTCAGTCGGATAACAACATACCGGCATGTCAGTGAAGGAGCGTCTGGTTGTCAGCGGAAGATCCAATGAACAACCACGAGCCGCCCGGCGCTTAGACGGCCGCAGCATGCGGCTTTGAGCCCAATTCCAAGTTGTCAACGGGCAGGATAAGTCCAGCGAGGCCGGGATAGCCCGAATCACAGAGCCTTCGAGTGTGACCCTGTTTGAGGCACCATGACTCACCTGGCCTACACAAAAATGGCACGGTATGAGAGCAAGAACGACACTGATGATGGCGATGTCGGCGCCATGCAGTCTCGATGAGCGTTCAGACGATTCGGCGAAAGCGGGGTTGGAAAGATCCCGGCCGTCGGAGGGCATTGTGTGCTGATGTTTGCAGCGCATAAGGCTGGGCGTTTATGAAGTGACTGCAGCGGAAAAGGTTATGCACAGAAAACTGGACGAACCGCCACGGTCATAAGAAAACCGAAAGGGTGTAGGGATCTGGACGGCCATGAAGGATGTTGGAAAGTGCATCTCGGCGTAATTGCAAAATGGTGACAGAGTTGGCAATTGACGTGACAGGTGTTGTCACCCGGTGTGTGACGCTTTGCGGCTTGCTGCAAATAACATTGTATGGAGTCTGGAACCAACAACTCGTCGCTTGCTGATGCACTTCTGTTAGGCACCGCGGGGTTGGCGCCAGGAAGAGGCAGGATGGAAAATTGCTGTTGGATGGGACAACTAAAAGCAAGAACCCACGTCCTCTTGCAGGCTCCGATCATCGCTCCACATTCACCCCGCAAGCTCCCGTGCCGGGCTCCGGGCTCCGGGCTTGCCTTGATTGCGAACAGGCGCCGGGTGAGTGGGGAAACTGCGACTCCAACGATTGGGCGTGCTCGGTGGTTGAGTGTCGGTCACGGCAAGCCTATCCAGTTGATGACGTCCAGACAGGCCAGGTTGACTCGTTCATGGCAAGTCGGTTACAGCCCCGGGACAGCCGAGGGCTTAAGATGCGCATGCACAATTCATGTCAGCTCCGCCGGAACAGACCCTCGAGACATGTAATGCAGGGACTTGTCCCTTCGAGCAGTGATTGAGCGGGCGGCCTTAGTAAGTAGTTCCTCAACCTTGATATTCAATGACGATGACAACTCGACTGAACCTGGGACTGCGGCTTGATTTCCCGGTGGATCGTCAGAGCTAGAGTGGCGGATGATGGCGGGTTGCAGCCATGGTTACCCAAATAACAAGCAGCCGAAGGCCAGAGCCCGGACCCGACAGGGTGAGTCGCAACATCCTCCATGATCCGTTTCCTTCGATGCCTCGATCAGATGAAGGCGAAAACGCAGGCAGCCGCGAGGGGCTTGAAGTCGACCATGACTGAAGAGCGGGACGTCGCAATCAGCCATGGCGGCGTCGGTTTGTTGGTTTGAATGGATTTCGTTGGGCTGGAAGGGAATGAGGATGAAATGTGGGATCGGTGTCCTGCCGTAAAGCCTGCCGTCTTATTGGGCCGCGAGAAGCCAAGTGGGCTGAAGTGAGCGCCGGCTTGGACGCCGCTCTGGTCCACCCACAGCAGCAGCCCGCGCACTGTGTGTTTTCGGACGGGCAAAACGGAGTGAGTGAGACTCATCAGCCGTCCGTTTTATGCCCATGGCAGAGAACAACCAATCGTGGGGCTGCAGGAGGTCATCGATGCGGGCCACTTACTGTGTCCCTGCAAAGGATCCTGGAATAAATTGGCACGGCCTTGTCTTATCCATATGGTACGAGAACAAAAAGGTGGACACACCAAGAGAAAGAGAGATAGGTGTCGGTCACTGCCTCTGGAAGACTTCCTGAGCGCAAAGAAGTCTGCGTTGCACCGGCTCTGCCGGACAGCGTTGGCGTTCGGAGTAGGCCTGTGCTTCTGGGCTGCCCCATCGGACCTTTCCATTTGGGAGAAAGGTAACGGTTGCCGGTCCTGCCCGACCCAGGTTGAACGTCAAGGAACGTTCGAGAGGCAAAGGCCACTTGGAAGGAAATCAATGCAAAGTGAAATGCGTCATCCGCCACTCTGGTGTATACGAGATGATTGCGGCACTCAACTCTTCTACCTCCGAGTCATCATTTGAAGAGACTGGCTGATTTGCCCCGAGGCTCAGAAACAGCTTCGCTTGGCATGTCAAGTGCCAACCGTGCACGCCGTTTGCATGGTCGTCGTGGGACCCATTAGAACATCAAAAATGTACACACAATCCATCCACGAATTCCTTTCAACCAGCCCCCTGACTGTGTACCGTTCAAACCTTGTTTGTTGTTAGCGCGAAACTCCTGAGAGGGTCCCACCACGAATTCAAGATCTTCCCCTACCATAGTGGCTATCAACTCACTTTCAACGCAAGGAAATTGAGCTTGAAGTTAAGCTCACAATGACTTCTCAGTCAACATAGTTTTTGTTACACTTAAATGGGACGTTCGGGAGTTGAGTTTTGAGATTTCAGTTCGTTAAGTCAGGCGCTAACGAACAAGGAGGGTACCGTAGGGTACACAGGGCTCGATGCAAATATTGGCTCAGCCGTAGCCTGTCCTTTCGTCACCTCCAGGTTGCAGAGGCTGCAATTTGCTCCAGTTTGCCCAGAGAGAATCATCACTTGGGCGTTTTGCGGCCCGATCATCGATTTGCAAACGCAGTGTAAAAAATAGCACACACCATGCACAGGCATGACCATATCAACTTGCCCCATTGTGGTCCGTTGGCCGCAAACCTCGTTTGCTCACACTCCGCAATCTCGGATGCAGCTGGCTGGTGCGTATCTTCGCACTGGGACGGCCGGGTCCATTTTCTTGACATAAGAAGAGCCCTATGTTTTGTTCGGAGACACGACAACCTGCCATCCAACCGGGCGTGGCACAAGCCTTGGAGGATCGATCATGTTCAAGGCGAGTAAGCAATCTTGAAACTCGGCGGAATGCTTCGTTTCCGGGTCCTCGAGAACTTCTTGACAACGCTACTCGTGTGGGTTCAGTTGCATTCCGACTCCCAAACAATATCAAGGTGGTGCATCTAAAAGATCCGGCATGATGGGCGCAAGAATCAGCCGGACGAGCTATTTTCATTTTGTTCCAGGTTTCAGGTACTCCATACTCCGTACAGCGGTATCGTTGGTCTCGACCTCCAAACTCAGCCAATTGTTGGTGGCTACCAGCGCACCGCATCGTCAGACGGCCGAGATCACGCGGCGGATAACGTATTAGAGCTCCATCAAACTAACGAGAAAGGTCTTTCAGCTCCGTCTTGGTTTCTGTGGCGCCGGCATCCCTGACGCGGCGCCGTGCTCCATTCCAAGCGCAAAGCAAACCGAACATGAAGACACACAGATCCTCTTGGGGAACCCGTTTATGCCGCGGCAGGCATTTCGTTGGTCGCCTGTGGCCAACCACGCAGGAGTCAGATTTCTGACAAAGTCCTTCCATGCCGCTTCAGGGCTCGGCCGCAGCAGGCTGCCCGGGTTTCCTGCATCAGTGCAGGCAGCCTCCATGGCCGATGACTGGTCCTCCGTACTCCGAAAAAGGATATGCGGGTTTGACGTCCCACATAATTTAGTGGGTGTGGGTGGTCCGTTTCGACAGGACAACAGAAATGACGGGACGGTGGGGGCTGCACTCTGAGAGTAGAACTAATTACACACAATAAAATGTAGCGTGCACATCGTTTGTCTCGCCCCAAAGCAAGGACTTGCTGTGTAACGCCTTAAGCAAGACGGCTTCCAGTCCGATCCCGAGAGTTTCCACTGCAATTGGCCTTCTTTGCGTGCACGTCGCCTCCTGAAAAGTGTTCATGACCGTTGTCATTTGCTCCACCGCCGAAAATTGCTCCAGATGCGAGGGCGGGGGTGATAAGGTACTTCGTAAGCTTAACACTTCGTCTTACTGTACCTGCGGGTACTCGGTAGAGAGTGATGATTTACAATGGCTTGTACCAACGGCGATGTTGAACTGTTGACCCGCGCCTTCATCACGGAACAGCTGATGTATTCCTCTTGTAAGTTATTTTGTGGAGCTTAAAAGACGCCGACTGTTTTAGTTACCAGTATCCCGTATGGATTCCAGCATTTCATTTCGGCGCAGACTGACGGGAGGTGTGGACAGGTTCACCCACCAATTGCCATTGTAATGAAGGCTGCCTGAAAAGACGACGATACCGTAGTGTATCAAAGTAGCTCGGCAGATCATAGTTGATCTAACGTTATAGTACATATACTTATACAGCCGACATTATACAAGTCTAATTCTCCACTGTTTGGTCCAGCCGTAGCTTCCATTAGTAGCATTTATATTCGTGTAATTTCAATATCCGTGTTACTTCTTGTCTATTCGAGGTCTTTGAGCTTGGAGCCCTTTAGCATTACGGTATCTTCCCCAAATCGTTCCTGGATAAGGTATGTGATAAATCAGCTATATGACCGGCTGCTTCCAAAATTGTGAGTGCATCAAGGCAACAAACATCTTCAGATAGCTTCAGAACGCCAGTGTGATAAGTTGTTTGCTATATACCCCGTTTTTATGCCCATCATTGTCAGAGGCCGGTCGACATGAACGACACTCTCCAGCTTGGGTATCACCTGTCGTGGACAGCGCCCCGTTTGCTGGTCCAGCGCCGTTTCCGATCCCGGCTCTAAAGAAGTACCTCAAATAGCGCACTGTGCTACATGATGCCCCATTCTGGAACAGAAACGGACCCCGAATTCTTTTGGGTTCTCCATTGCCCCTGCTGTTGGTGTGAGCAGCTAGCATGAGTGTCTGCGCCTTGTTACTGTGATGCGTTTGTGACCTCGCAAGGGAACCGAACAAGCTTATACGAAACCAAACGTCCATGGATAAATTATTAAACGTCAAATAGCCATAGATAGCTCAGGATCCGCAAGTGCACCATCCAGGCTGGATCAACTCCCTGCAGCCTCTAACCGCGAAACCATTATCTGACGGCTGACATGCCCATTCCGCATTGGCCCGAAAGCACCAGCAATGAGACGCTTGCGGGTTCTTTGGCGCCCCTTTCCCGCGCTCTCAAAAAGCGATGGCGGCGGACACAGACAACGACTAGGGCAGCCAAGCCCGAAACACAAGGTTTGTGGACGTACTTCGTATGCTGAGGTGGGCAACGCAGCCGGATCCACGCGAGGGGCCTGATAACCAACTCCTCTTACATTGTTCGTGTTTTCGGAAAAGGGTGGTGGTGGGGAGCCGAGTGAGTAACAAGGACCTGCTCGGAGGACTCCGTACGGAGTATGACCACAAAAATAAGGAAGAGGGGATGAGATTTGAACCGCATGTGAGAGCCCATTAGCTGCATGCCTTTCGTGCCACTATTGAATAATCCCTAGCTTTATACGTGTGCGAAACACTGTGCGCTCCTGGCAGCTAATTAAGTCCGTACTCACTCGAGTAGTCTCCTATTCTGCCACATTGCTCGGATTGTGTCTCTGGGACCCGACAGGCCCCGCGGATGACACGGTCTCAAGCCGTGAAAACGGGGGGCTCATGAGTGTTTTACCTCGACGCAAAAAATACGGCGCAAAGTGCCGCCCGGTAACTTTGGCCAACCATGCAATTCTCAAGCCACGTACTGAGTCCAAGTGCGATGGCTGTGGTCCTGACACGGCCGCATCCTGTCGTCATCTACCTGGGCTTATTAGCTTGATTATTCAATGTCCGGTGCCTTATGGTGGAATGCTGACGACAACAAAGCGTGCCCACTGCCTGAGAAAAGACAGCTGATGCAAAAGCGCCTCCACTTGATAGTGGCTTTCAGCACTGGAGGGTCCTCTTTCTGGATCTGCGGCGGAAAGACATACAGAGAATCAGATGGCTGAGCCAAGCATATTTAGTGGCAAGATCAAACTTTATCCAATCCAGAGTAGTCAAAGAAAACGGAAGCTCACGTTAAGGCTAAGCCGGAAACGACCTAAGAGGGAGCACAGTCCCACAGATCACAAAGACGAGAACACCGACCGTGCAGGAGCCAGCGAAGGATTCGATTGGGTGGAAGGGCCCCGCTTCACTGGGGCGGCTTGGTGCACGGCGGTACCTCCGTATCCGTGTCCTGCCCCAGAAGGTGCCGCCCCTTTTCGCAGCACAGCGAAAGCACAGCACACGGCAAAGACGACAGCACGGCGAGGCCCCCTTGCACCGCACCCGACCCACCTCAAACAACGACATCGACCAGGGACAAAGTAAATTAGCAGCATTTGCGGCGACCAGGACCGAGACGCAGCAACCATTACCACACCCTAACATCCTCCGCAACCACTTCACAAGGATGGGCGTCACTATGGATGCTTACGACGTATGGGGATCTCCCTCCCCATCATCCCTCTCCGAAGACTGCTTCTGCGTTGCTGCTCTTGCACTTTCTTCTTCTGGTCCTCCTCGCCGTTGTCTTCGTTATTCCGGTCGTCCCTCCTCCGTCCGTGGCCTCGGCTCCCTACCTAACTGCGGCTTTTCCCTTGATGTTCTCCACGATCCGATCTCACCGTGGACCAGCCGTCCGTGACCTTACCCACCGTAACCTTCGGTAGTCACTGAGTGCCGCCTGCCCCAGTGTACGGAACCCTCAAGCGCAGATCACCCTGACGCAACATCCAGCTCCCTCGGTCTGCTTCGCCATTGACAAAGACATCAAAGGCACCGAGGGCTGACGAGGCTCGTCTGGAAGAGCTTCCACTATTGCTCCCGGAGTTCACCTAAAAGGGCGTGTGGACCACCAAGCCGTTTCCTTCGATCAGCGTCACTCGTTTGAATCGACGAAACTCGCCGATAGCCTCCTTCAAGCCCACCGTCTCCGCGGTCAACAGTCAACACCTCATCAGACTGCAAGCTCTTAGCAGGAGGAGGAAAGCACCTGCAGGGTTGGTTACAGCTTCCATTAAGCTCCAGAGGGTCGTGTCGTGATGCCGACAAGGCAGGCATGCTGAGAGTAACAACGGACCGCCATAGTTTGTTTCGGCGCCGAGTGGCTTTTTTGGGTGGCTTCATTGCAGGAAGGAAGGAGCTAGAGTTGGCAATACGGGGCCCTTTTCTTGCACGCCTGCCGCGTGTGCGTAAGGTTCGGCACCGGGGTGAAGACTACGGCAGGCACGAGTTGCTGTTTCCCAGGTTTGCGTCACTGCGCCTGCAGAACGATCTCACGATTCTCAACAGCAACCCCCAATCGCGTCACTGCCTACGCATCGACTTGACACCTGACCGGTGTCGACTGGCCGTGAACTCAACCCTCGCTTCCACAGCCTAGACCGCCTCTCTCGCCCATGCCTTCGACTGGAACTCAGAACACCACCATTCTTCTCCAGGGACCGCCCTCGCCTCCTGGTACCGCGCAGTGCCGGAGTGTTGTCCTGAGCAACAACAGCACCAAGAACGGCACGTACAACAATACCCTCCCGCGCGGCCTTTGCACGCCACCGGTCGACGAAAACATGGGGACAACATACGAGGTCCTGCACCTGCCATCGCGCCGAGATTACGATCTCTATCCTTCCTCTGCATACGTGCCGACGATGCCCCAGCCGGGCCGGCAGTGGTCGGCACTCAACGAGCAGTCGGCACCAAATCAGCAGATCTTCGATCCCATCTCGCGATGCCCCGCCCCTCCTCCAAACCAGTCGCAAAATTTCAGACCAGCATCAACAGCAGCAACCCCATACTCGGCCCCGACAACCACGACTTTGCCCGCCATGTCCTGTTCGACGGCGAGCGCAGAATATTCACAGCGGCCGGACGGCTCGCGGCAATCAAAGCAACCAACTCCGCCCTCGGCAAGGTCGACCGCTGACAGCGCCGCAAGCGCAAAGATGACGAACCACAGCATGAGCATCCCGGAGCGGATAAGCCCAAGAGGAGGGAATATTTCAGACTTCATGGCCGAGGTGGCCGCCCTTTTTTGGTTCGACTCGATTAAGCTGCTGGACAAGTTGGAGAAGATGGCCAAGTTCGGGCAGTTCACGCCAGTTCAGCCGCTGTCGTCGACGGCCGTGGCGAACCAACATTTCAAAAAGTGGGTTTCGACGGTGTTGGCGACGACCCAAGTCACGCAAAACGTCGTGCTCCTCGCGCTCCTTTATATTTACCGGCTTAAGAAGGCGAACCCCACCGTCAAGGGCCGCCCCGGCAGCGAATACCGATTGCTTACCGTGGCACTGATGCTCGGCAACAAGTTCCTGGACGATAACACCTACACGAACAAGACCTGGGCCGACGTGTCGGGCATCTCGGTCAACGAAATCCACGTCATGGAGGTCGAGTTTCTGAGTAACATGCGGTACAGCCTCCTCGTCTCGGCTGAAGAGTGGGAGCAGTGGCTCGACATGCTGGCCAAGTTTTGGGCCTACCTCGAGCTGGCACAGCAGGCCTTGTCACCCACGCAATCGCCGCTCCTGGTCCCGTCGCCAAGCCAACGCAAGTTTGTCTCGCCGCTTCATTCTCCCACTGTGCCCGAGGGACCAAGCCTGCGGTCGGCGACGTCTTCCTACACCCCCCGGTCCCCTGACCTGGCTTCCTACGCCCTCCAGTCCCCCAATTGGGCTCACCCGATCAGCACCCACCAAAACCGGCAAGCGTCGCACGGCGGGAGCAATGCAACATCCCCCATGGCGCCGAGGCCCAAGTCCCACCCATCCCGGAAGCGGAGTTTCCCCGACGAAGACTCGGTTGAAGCCCCTTCCAAGCGCATGACGCGAATGCCGGGAACGGCTCCGTGTCAGGCGCCAATCCAATGCCATTCGGCTGCGGCTCCGGGGCAAACGCAGTCTGGCTTGCCGCTTCAGGGAGTTGTCGCTCCTGTGCACCCGCCCCCAGTACCCGGCCCGAATCATGTCCGTCCGCGGGCGCCCACTTTGACGCTGAATACGGCACAGGCAGCCGGGGCTCCCGCGACCCAGACCCAGCCGTACGGGGTTTCTGCGTACGCAGCACAGCAACCCTCAGTTTCACTGCCTCCTCTCGCTTCGGGCGTCCGGGCAATGGCGATGGTGTACCCGACCACCACGTATGCTCCCTCACAGGCCATTGCGGCCACTTCCGGGTTGGTTTCGCCAATTTTGAGCTTCCCGCCTATCAACTACGGCACCCCAACAAAGCGGCTGTCACCACAGAATAGCTTGTCGGCCTTTCCCGTTTCGTCTCCGCTGGTCATGGCCAACCCGATGAGCAACGGCCCCGCCAGCGGCCTGCACACGCCCATCTCGCGTTCGCCGTCCCTTTACCTCCAGCAGCGCAACAGCCCTTACAGGCCGGTCCGGCATGTCAACACGCTCCTATACCCACCTCCGTCTGCCTTTCTGCAGCAGTATCACCTCCCGAACCCCGTGCTTCCCAACCAGATGCACTACAAACCAATCGGCAAGCGGAACGAGTATCGCACTGGAGTTGTCCCCGAGTTTGTGACCACGAATGCGCCCCGCTTCAGCCAGCCATTGGTTGTCACGAGCTCGCCGTCGCCGTACCCACCCTACCAGCCGGTCGGGCAGTTGCTGCCGCACCCCCTTTCGCATGCCCAGCACCCCAGGGAACAGTATCAGCCGCCGCCTACGACGCGGGCTGGAGCGCCCTACCCGGGGCCGTACTAGGGATTGGCCGCCGACTCCGCCGGCGGGGCTAAATGATAGTTGCTTAGAGACACGGCATGTGGTGCCTCTTATCTGTAGTATTAGTTTGGAGTGAAACCGTATCGATGCATATGCATAGTCTGGCGTTTGGGGTTTCTCATTTGAGTTTTCCAGGGACTTGCTGAAGGGTTATTGATTGTATTATTAGATGGTAACGGCGTTTCGGTTGTCATGGGACTAGCGGTAGTGGGACATGGCGCGTTGCATTCAAGACTGGATGTGTTGGGAAGATCCCTGGCTTTCCTACTTTACACTTTGCGAACTTTTACCAATTCATCAAGAAGGACAGGCTTGGTTTTGCCAGTTTTCGGAGACGGGATGGCTTGGTGATGATGGACCTCCAGACTGAAGGCACCTGTTTTACTACCCCTAGACGCCGCGACACAGATTGAAAACGTTCAAATGGGTAAATATCACTGCACCCATGCTACAATACGCTGGCGGGCCTTGTGCGATTTAGGGTGAGCGAGAAACCATGCCTGGTTTTGGCGCTGCGGTGTTGCGTTGACCGGGACCGGGAATGATACGGGACGGCGCCATGGACAGCCTGGGTGCACTCAAACTGACTGTCGGTCTGGGGATGAGGCGGGGGGGTCCAAGGAAATTGGCTCTCAATTATCTATCGACCCAAACCCTAGACCAAGGCAACCAAACTCCTGACCGTTCATATAATCCGTGGCATGTCATGATATGATGCGTCATCCTCAACCCAATCAATCCTGACACCGGGAACATGGAAGTACCGAACAGAATATCAAGTAACTCGCCAGCACCATGCACTCATCCAACCAGCCACCTCGTCTATCCAAAAAGATCTAAATTGCAATAATCAAGAAAACCCCTAGGACCCAACAACGCCCAACATTTGTTCCAGCCCTTTCAACAGCTCTCCTCCCTCAAAAACCTCGCCGGCAGTGAAAGAGACGTGGTCCCATATGGTGCATGCATGTAGGTAATGTACATGGCTGAACCCAACCGACTCTCTAAATTTACATCCCCCTCCTGCGCAGCAAAACACCAGCCATGTCCAGCCGGACAGCAGGCCGCTCGACATGATTGCTAGCAAGGTCCTCCAGGCTCCTGCTCGGCACAAGGCGCCCGCCGGGCGTCCGCGGGTTCGCCACATTGACCCGCCCCCGACGATGCAGCCTCGCTTGGCCGCTGCCGCCGACGCCGTCGTCGTCGAGGTCATCGTCTGATGCTGACGAGGAGGAGGACGCATCGTCTGCGTGGTGGTGATGATAATGGACGCCCTCTTCTTCTTCTCTGTGGGGGTGTTGTGGTGGTGCTGCTTCCTCTGCTGCTACTGCCTCTAGTATGCCGCCTGCTCCGGGCGCTCCGGGCGATCCGGAGGGCGTCGGACGGAGGTGTCTGAATGGATCAACGTCATTGTCATTCTCATCAGGACCGACACCTCCGCCCAATAAGCAAGGCTGCTGCCGCTGTGCTGACGCAGAAGTAGTGGACGCCGTGATCGGAAGGCCCGTGGTGGTGTCGGTGGTGTCCGGGCCGATAGTGTTTGTGTCGCTGTCGCTGTCGGACCGGTCAGTGACGACCGCGTCGGGGTTAGGCTGGTGGCTGTGGCAGGAGTTTCCTGCTGCTGCTCTCGTGGTGGTGGTGGTAGTGGTGGTGGTGACGCCCTCGTAAGCGGCCAGCCGGGCGAAGTAGTCGGCCAGTCCGTCCACGCTGGGCGTACCCACGATCAGGTCGTAGCAGGGCGGCGGCGTCTGCAGCGGTAGCTCCGGCGGTGACTCGTCGGCGTCGAACGCCGGGGGATTGTGCGAGGGGTGGCGGATGAGGTGGATCGGCCGCTCCTCAACCGGCGTGTGGGACGTTTCTGGCCGGGCCTGGTGGATGAGGGTGCTTTGTTGGGGAACGCCTCTGGCGGCGTGGACATGGGCTGCTTGGGGTTGGGCAGGTAGACGCGAAGCCATGGAACAATCCAGGCGGAGTTGGCGTCCGCTCAGAGTGATGAAGTCCTCCTCGGTCATGGTGAGGGGCCGGGCCAGTCCGGCAGGGCTCTGGTCCAACGGCTGGGCGTCGGGACACCCGCATGTCATCTGCTGCCGCTGCTCAGGGACCGGCCCGCCACTGCCGCTGTACTGCGGTAACGCAGTGTTTGCCCTTGTCGCGCGGCAATTGAGAACGGTAAACGGGCTGTCAATGCTGATCTCGAAGTGCCGTCGGCGCTTGCCTGTGGGATCGTCGGGGTCTGCGCGCGAGATGCGCATGACGACCTGTATTCTGTCAGCGTAGGACTCGCGATTCCGCAAGTGCGAGGGCATACCTTAATCCAGTGGAAGACATTAACGTTCTTCCAGCTGCAGTCAGGGTGCAACCGGAGAGTCTTGTCACGGGCCATCATGTCGCAGGTGGGCAGCTGGACGTTCATCTCGATCTCGGTGCTCGCCCAAAAGCTCTCGAGACCCAATTCCAGGTCGCCAAGAAGGTTGTCGCTGGGTTCAGGGAGCGGCTCGGGGGCTCCGCGGTTCCTTGCTGCTTCTCTCATACGGCGACAGGCTGCCGTCCGCCTGGCCTCCTGCCGTTGGAGAGGGTCGAGCTCACCGCCGCTAAGCACGCGCATCTCGCTGGCGGCGTACTGCTTGTCTACCGGCCTGCCGGCCGTCTTCTCGAACAACAAGATCTTGCGGCCGGGGTCCTTGCGCGTCACGTGGCGGTTGTTGGTCCAGTACTCGGCGTTCTCTGTAACAAAAACCTTGAGTTTGTGGAGCTGCACCTTGGCAAGCGGTGTGAGTTTGAACGCGATTGGTATCCTGCCTCCGATAGGGAAGCTCTTGCCCGAGATGACGATGTCGTAGTGCAGCTGGTCTTCCCAGTTCCGGCTGATGGATATTGGCTCGACCGTCTCAAGAGACATCTGGTCCGGGAGACGGACAATCGGCACTTCTCTTGTGCCGTGGAGGTTGGGCTTGAAGGCACCCGCCCGCTCCACGGTGGTCTCAAGATCCCAGCGCACTGACCCATACGGGAGCTTGGCCGTTTCGAGCTGGTTGTGGTCGATAGGCAGCTCAAACGTATACTCGTAGATTCCGGGGTGAAAAACCTTGTACCCTTTGACCTGGACCTGGTTGATATGCGGTGAGTCACCCTTTCCAAAGCTCCGCGAGTTGACGGACTGCAAAGAGAGTCGCTTTAGTTCCTTAGCCGTGAGAGTGCTGCTGCGTCCCTTCCCGAGAATATGCAGGGATCCGGTCGAGGCAGTCGGCTGCAGGGCGCTTATCAGGCCGCCGGCCTTGTGGGTGTAGGTGCACTGGCTGCCGTACTCGGTGTCCCACATGCCCTCGTGCATGGCATGGAAGAAGACCAGGGACTGGGTCCGCAGGACCTGTTCCTCGTACAAATCTGTCTTGTGGGGCGGAATGCCCTCGGGCCATTCTGTCCTCGCCTTGCCGACGAGCTTAAGTGTTATCGACTTAATCTTGACGTTCTTGGACACGTTCAGCTGCAGCTTTCCGCGAAGCAATGCGCTCGTCGTTTGGCCTCCGCGGCGCGTATGGTGGTCGTGGTCGAAGCCGGTCAAGAAGACGTTGGGTTCGGCCAGCAGTATGGAACAGGAAACGCCGCTTCCTGATGCCACTGGCTTTTGGACCTCGGAAATGGACGAGCTTATCATAGTCTTTGCCGATCGTATCGACATCATGCTGTTTCGATTCGCCGACATGACGGTAGTGCCCGCCGGAACGGGACGGGGACGGGCGCCTGCGACGCCTGTCATGATCGGCGTCCCGGGCACCGGTTCCTCGATAAATATGGGTACTTCTACTGCTGGTTCACGTCGAGACAACCTCTGGACGAAGCTGACGAAGCTGACGAAAGTTAAGGACCGAGGCCGGTCCCTTGAGACGGGAGTCGCGGAAACAGTAGGCGCTGGTTTCGGCGTGATAGAAAGGGCGGCAAAAATCTTGTCGATGACCCTGCCAACACTCTCGCCGGACTCTGGGAGTGATAGGAGAGAGCGTCTCTTCTCCTGCTTCTCTGTCCGTTCCCTCTCGGCTCTCTTCCTATTCTTCTCTTCCCTTTTGCGTTCCCTTGCTTCCTGCTTCTTTATTGCCTTACTCTCCCGCTTCTCGCGCTTGGATAATTTCGTCCCAGGTGAACTCGGGCGGAGGTCGTGTGGCACGAAGCCGGGTGGATATGAGATGATGTGGATGGAGTGCGGGCGGCGTTGGCGGGGCTCGATCAACGGGGCCGGAAAGCGTCCCGGGTGGGCACGGCGACTGCGCTCAGTCGGTCGCCTCGGCGAGTAAGATACGGAGCCGTGGGCAGAAGACAAGTATGGCGGAGGGCGTAGTCGATCGTGTTCTGGACCTGCAGGAGACATGGCCGTCCGGTTAGACAGCAAGCTCGATCGGAACAGCATGAGGACGGTAGTAATAGGAGCGGCAGTGGCAATGGTTGACGTGGGCCAGGGATAGACATGGCGGCATCAGTGGTTGTTGGGTGAGGAGCGGATGGCGAGTAAAGAGGACATGGAGGGACGAAGAGGACAAGCGCGCAAACACACAGCAGCCGGCCACAAAGAGATTCGTGATATCTCCAACGTCCAACGGCCCGAGTCCGGAGGCTACATTGTGAAGGCGGAGACGGGCTGGAGCGTTGTGGCCTGCAACGGCCTGATTCTGGCGAGAAAATGAGATAATGGTATCCATCGCTGTCTTTGTTGGGCCAGACCGGCGGTGCTCCAGAAACAGCCTCACAGCGGAATGACAAACAGGCATGGTAACAGTTGTCCCCGTGTCAATCGGGACGGCTGACCAGGAGAGGGCTTGTTTAGGGAGTGCACGAAGGCGAACAAACGTGAAGGGAGGGGCAAGGGACACAGGGATCGGTCAAAATAGAAACAGCAGTTGGGAAGGGATGTGTCCGGATGCGGGCAGGTTGAGCACATACCTTGGGCGCCTGAATCATACCAGCCCCGTTATCATCACGACGGAGCTCTTGTATGTGTAGGTATTGCTCGCTTTGTTCTGCTTGTGTTCGGCGCGCCCTGGCTTTGTGTTCTCGAATCTCTGTAGCCGGAAGCACCGAGGGGCTCGAAGCGTCGAAGATAGGGGTCTCCAAAGAGCCTGCCTGAAATGTGTGGCGCTCTCCTCGATATATCAAAGGGTGACCAACGGGGGTCGCACTCGTAGGCCGTCGTCGCCCAGATGCGGCGCAAGAGATGTGAGATGCAGCGCCGTGCGCTTGCTGTTGGTGTGCGGCGCTGGGTTTTGGGACCGTTCAAGCGGCTTTCTGCTTCGTCTTAGGCGGCGAACTGGATGCGCATGCTCGAAGCGAAAGCGTACTATCGTTAACTATGTACCCTATGTACAATATGAACGAACGGGGGCGTGGGCAACGCGGAGCGGGTTTCATGCGGCGCGACAGGGAAGGGGGACCGAAAACAACAAGACAATAAAATCGGCTGGGTTAACCTGTACAATCAATGCGGCAGGCAACGGGGAAAACATAATCACCAACGGGCCATGGTGGGATGGAAATGGCAAGATGCTGAGTCGGCACCCGAAGCAAGAATTGGGAGATTTGGCGAGAAATTGGCACATCGCATGCCAACGATCTGCAACGGCAGAGTGTGATGACCTCAGCGGTCCCTGCAGTCAGGAAACGACCAATCACAGCCAGTCGGACCAAGCTGCCGACCCACTTCGCAGCTTCCCTGCTGTCCGTCGACTTTGGTCAAAAACCGAACGGCATATGATGTTGCTCTTTGTTTCCATGTCATGATACAGTGCTTTCCAGGTTATCACTGAGGCACAATTGCTGACGTGGAGCTATGTTTCTCAGTTGAGGTATTGCCCGTTTCGTGGAAGACCAGTGCTATTGTCTCTGCGAGTCAGCCGAGCGGGCCGTAGCAGAACCGGGAAGGACGCCGCAGCCGAACGAGCGCCAACCGTTGATCCCGCAGGCCAGAGAAACGCCGGTTGTGTTCCAACGTTCCAACATCAAGACGCAGCAAAAACTGAAGCCATGCAGCCGAGGCGGTTGAGCACCGAAACCCAGCAACCAATGACATCCATGGCAATGACATCCTCAGCGCGCATGACCGACCTTGCCGAACAATCCGCGCGATCTTGAGTCCTCGGGTTCTGTTGGCACTCTCAGCTCTCACGCACGTGCTAAGCCGAGACTGCCGATATCGGGTTATCGGTAAGTCTGCAGGGAGCGGACGCAAGCGCGAGCTGCTGCGGCCAAGTTCGGCAATTGGTGTGTCGGTGACATCATCGCCGTTGGCGGGGTCCTCTGACACAATCTTGAGAAGAGTTTCCGACGAGAAAGGGAACATTGCAATTGAAGGAAGCGGCAACAAGTGTGGCTACAAGCAAACAGGCGCTGGGCGATGACAAGCACTAACCTCTGCCATTTTCGCGGCAGAGGCAACGCAATGCGATGAGGTCGTCGCCTCGGAACTCGTCGCTTGTCGCACATCGCCAAATGCTATAGGTGAAGTCCATTCTAACAATCACTGTCCGCCGACGACGATTCGTTTCCTGTCCTACTCGGCTGGCCGCGGGCGGCTGTCCCTGTGTTTAAAGAGCGACGTTGCCCTATACTCTACCGCTGCTATAACACCCTACCTAATTCAATGTTCCGGGACAACCGACGTGCCGGGACGATTCTTGTGTCCCTTAAACGTTGCCCGATGTGGACGGCACTATTCACGGCCCAAAAATCGCGGAACTGCGCCGGGATCCACTTTCCAAAACACCGGCTCTGACGCCGGTATGTCTCCACTGCTCCGGGCCCGATTGAACACGGCCATGTATGCTTAGCCGCAAGTGGCGAAACTTTGGAAGGGCCACCGGATTCACATCCTTTCAATACCCTACTGGCTTGGACCTTTTGGTCATTGCTGTAACATCGGTCTAGAAGAGCCCGATCCAAGCCTCAGATTACTGACATCCACGGCCCAGAACGAAGAATCCGCGATGGGTTGACACTATCCCGCACACAGTGGTAAGATACCGCCCAGGAGCCTCGAGCATTGACGCGAACACCACTACTCCATTCCATCGGTGACAACACCTCCGTCAAGAACGTCGTCGTAACCATAAGATTTCGTCCAGGTCGGACAAGTTTGCTCCCGGTGCGTTTCGGATTGCGGCGCCAAGTCGACACCCTGCGCCAGCAGCCACAAAGAGCAACAGTCCACCGGCTATCAGTAGGGTATCTATGTTGGTGTGCCCCTGGCACAATACTTTAGATGAGATGCATTTTGCCGGCAACTCGTGCGGTTACACAGCGCAATTCAAGTTGCCCTTGCATACGGTAGGAGACGGGTGTAATCTGGCAAAAACGCTCTGCCTCCGCCAGTGCCATCCGTTACCAATTTGGCTTCGCCAACACTCGTTGTGTCAGGCGCCAGCGAGTATGTATACCCGGTATGGACACCCGAGATCGTGTGGACGCTTGATAATCAGACCTTGATGTTGACGGTTCACTACAAGATAAGAGGTCTCGGTATAACCCTGACGATTTAATAGACGCTACTACATCGACGCTTTGAACTAAGGTCCGAAAAATCATGCTCGCCGCTCCCAATCCGCGGTTCCTCGCTGGCCTCTGTCTAGTGGCACTGGCGAGCCGGATCGCTGCTGAGGATTCAGAGCAGCGGGGCCCGCAGAAGCCCATTACGCTCCGCCAGTCTGGGGGCTTCACGATAGGCGGCAAGATCATCCATAACCCTTCGAACCCCAATATGACACTCTCTTGCGACCACGGCTACGTAGAGTACTTCACCCCGTGGACGCCGCGCAAGACGAGCATCGTCATGTGGCACAGCTCCAGCACCCAGACCTTCCAGAACCGCTGGGACGGCGGGGAGGGCTTCAAGGACATGTTCCTGCGCCGTGACTACCCCGTCTACCTCTGGGAAGGGCCTCGCGTCGGCCGGGCCAACTGGGCCTGCAGCCCGACCTCGTACGCGCCAGACTACCGAGACCAAGGCAACTTTGTCGCCTGGAACTTTGGTCCCGTCTTCAAGGAGTGGTGGCCGGATGTGCAGTTCCCGACGGCGAGCGAGTACGCCTGGCAGCAGGCCACGAACTCCCGGTACGTCGAGTACGACTCGGAGGCGAGCCTGAATCTCGAGACGGACGCCGCCGCCATCGCCGCCGATTCGGGCAAGCTCGGCGAGGACATCGTCTACCTCACCAACTCGGCGAGCGGCTGCGCGCCCAGATGACGGCGGTCAAGAGCAACACGACCCATATCAAGGGCATCGTCTGCTACGAGGGCTACGGCTACGTCTTCCCGGACGACGCGGGCATCGAGCGTGGTGCTGGGCCAACCCTTTTGGCCCGATCCTGGTCCCCTTGGAAGACTTCAAGAAGCTGGCTAAGATACCTGCCATCCAGTTCCTGTGGGGAGACCACAGGGACGAGGGCTTCACATTTCTCAACCAGTCGAGGCAGGCGGCAGCCTTAATCAACAAGTATGGTGGCAACGCCCAAGTCATCAAACTGGGCGAGGACAAGGGCATTAAGGGGACCACCCACATTGCGTTTGCAGATTTGCACAACGAGAAGGTGGCTGGGCTCTTGGACGAGTTTCTCAGCGAGAACCGGCTATCTGGTTATCCGGCTCGTGGCTAGGATATTATGTCTATATACAGTATTGAGCAGTTCAGACTTCAGATTGTAAAGTCTCAATGTAGAAACCTACAAAACTTAAATTCGGGGCTGTCTTCTGAATTCATGACCATCTTCAGTTGTCCATCCTGATTGTCGTACATCCTTTCCTATCCTGGAAACTTCCACGCTTCCCTACATGCGGCGCCTGGATGAACCAAGCCCAGTCCAACCTAGGTCGACACTCACATAATTCAAGTTGAAAGGTGATCAACCCAAATACATTTCAAACCAGATGAACCGGAAACAGTCACTGGCCGGGTGGCAGCTCCTGAGACCGTCAACACATTAGTAACATCACCCCAAGCTTTAGAAAGCGTAGACTTACTAGGTTGAGTAGGTTGACGGTTCCAGCTGCTCACGCAGGTCTAAGCAACGCAGTACGCTGCTGACTGGTCGCCGTTGACCAGCACACAACCCGGATGGCCATGAGTTATGCCGCAGCGGGCGGACAGCTGCCACTGACCGAGGGAGTTGCAGACCATGATGAGAGAATCATACTCGCCAAATTCGCCTCCCTCGTGCTGGTTTCGCATTGATATGTTCCGGGAGTGCAGGCCAACGTCGGGGGGGTCACAAGCAGCAACATGGTGGCCGCAGTCAAGGTTGAGGAGAGAAGATGGTTATATGTTGAGTGATTGTGATGCAGAAGTGATTGGTATGTTGTCGATGACTGAAACGGATTCTGATGCCAGACTGCTGGGAGTGACGAGGGAAGAGAGAGTTTGGAACCGCAATGATGGCGAACTGGTGAGCCTTTGTACTGCGAATATCCCTCTGCTCCTGCTTTCGAGAAGGATGCCACCAAGAACAGTTTACATTGAAAGGATTCTGAAGTGCTACACGGCAAGAGGTAGAATAGGAGAAGACTTACAGAGTCGGCGAACAGTCTCACACCGGTTGCTCAACTACCTTATGGATACCTTACCATTCGCGTTGTTGCCTGTTACCTGATGCCCAATTTTATCCTGCCCCAGAAAAGGATTCACTACAACGCTATCAGATAATGATTGTTGTTCAGCCCGCAAGGAGGACTTGCCGGGGGAGAAGGATCCCGCCACGGTCCCCAACTCACCTATGCCCGGGCCCTAAGTTTACCGCCAGGTATTGCAAGTTGAATACCAGATCGCTGAGTAGGCAGTGATGAGCAGACAAACCGCAGCTGTACTGAGAATGTCTCCCTGTAACGTTAATCAACTGACTGATTCCTGAGAGATGAAAGTTCTAAGTTGCAATCTGAGTTTAGTGTCCCACTCCTAATATCCTCTCTCCTGTGAGTCTTCCTTTCCTCGTTACCAGTTTCACCGTGCATCGTCTGCGTCCCGTCTTCTGTGCTTGTGCCCTAAGAATTATTGTCGATGAACCTTTTCAGATATCCCCAGTTCCGGAACCGAGCACGCACAGCAGATGATACTGGGGTGGGTACTAAACGTATGTTAGAGTAATATGAAGCCTTCATCCAATCCAGACATACCCCCATATCCCGGCAAAAAAGTCTATCTTAGCTACTTGTTAATTGGTATAGTTATTACGTTAGTCCCGCCCCGATACGCACAATTTCCAGCTCGTTCTCGCAATAAGTGCCACCGGGACAATTACCACACGCCCGCACACAGACTGCGGCGGAAGTAGTTGCCCAAAGGCTTGCAACAGCTGCAACAAGGATGATTCTCATGATAGCTTCTTCGCGGATGTGCTGTGGGTTGGCGTTGTTGGAGGTAAAGTAAGGTTGTCCTGCTGAGACACGCAACACCGAACACTTCTGGCCTTCAAATACCTACCTGAGAGAGTCCTGAGCTTCATGACCCAAGGTGAGTTCAGTACTCCGTAGAATGATATGGATTGGCATGTCGTTATGTCTCAGCCAAAGTCTCACTCATACGAAAACCACCCAGAGGCAGTAACGGCCCGAGAGTGATCATATCCCTATCAAAACGACACATTGATTGGCTGACGTGACGCCGATCAGTGATGAACAACCAGCTATGGCTGAAACCTGTAAGAACTCTGAGTCGAGCACCCTTCGTAGGTAACTTTCTGCCCACTTATCCACCCACACCGGCTTTTTCCAAAGCAGTCCATCCGGACACATGCTTCACCCAAGACAGCCAGTAACTCCGAGAGCATCCAGACTGATCCAGTCTTCGCAGCACATACGACCGCACCACAAGACAGAACCCCGGACAACAACCCTGGAAAGCACCCTAGTGATAGCACCCCAGGACGGTACCCAAGGCAGTATTGATACCTCCGGAGATCTTTCAATGGGTAGAATACAGCTGCTCAATTAGTCCAGCTGGTTATCAGCTCCATCAGCATCCCCCAAGCGAGCCAGAACACGACATCTGCTCTCAGCTCAATCCTGCAGGTTGCTGCAGGCTGCTGCAGTCCACCACCTCGCAGCTAATCATAACCCTCTGAAGTTTTCGTCCTCCATGCCAGAACTGTCGGAACGAAGCCGCCTTGATGGCTGCATTCAACGGACCACGGTGGTTGATTGGTGCCAGCACCGCAGCCCCTCTTCCTTACCTACTTAGTCCTCTCCCATGCCCATCAACAACAGCACAGAAAATCAAGCACTTTTACCACCTTTCAATTCAATCCACTGCTTTGACGGGAAATAGCTTCTTCCAGCGCATATCTCAGCGGTCATCGCCCTGCAGGTTCCAACAAGAACAACCTCTCCGCTCCGGCTGATCGCTTGTCTATCATGTGTTGTCGCGCTCTGGCACGGTCGCGGCAACAGCCACTATAACAGCACCCAGACAGCGACCTGCGCTGAGCACAGCACAATCGTAGAGAGGTGAATACGGTGGCATGGAGATGTTCAGCTAGTCATCATAGAGTGACGGAGAGGTGCAAGGCACTCTTTTAAGTTCCCTGCTTCTACATATTACCAATCTACCTACTTTTAACTGTGCTGAAGGCAACCCCTGCTGGTAACAACAAAAGAAATGACGAACCGAACTAATCAATCTTACAAACCGTGACTTATTCCAAATTCTGCGCCTCGCACATCTTGCGGTACATTCCCCCTTGAGCAATCAACTCTTCATGCGTGCCCCTCTCCACAATCTTGCCACCATGGAAGACACAGATCAGATCGGCATCCTTGATAGTCGACAGACGATGGGCCACGGCCAGGGTGATGCGATCGCCCGCCTTGGCGGCTTCGGCCAGGGCATTCTGGACAATCTTCTCGCTCTCCGTGTCCAGCGCGCTGGTGGCCTCGTCGAGGAGGAGGATCTTGGGGTCGCGGATCAGGGCGCGCGCAATGGCGATGCGCTGCCGCTGGCCGCCCGAGAGCTGGGTGCCGTTGGGGCCGGCTGCAGTGGACAGGCCTTCGGGGAGGGACGCCACAAACTCCCAGGCGTTGGCGGCGCGGAGGGCGGCTTCAATCTGGGAGTCTGGGACCGAGGGGCCGCTGCTGGCTGCCGAGGCTGCCGCGCTGTCGACGGCGGCGGTTGGGTCGTCGATGCCGAGGGCGATGTTATCGCGGATGGATCCCTGGAAAAGAGTAGGTTCTTGCTGGACAAGGGCTACGATTCGGCGGTAGAGACGCGGGTTCAGCTCGCTGAGGATGGCGTCGTCGATGCGGATGTTTCCTGTGGAAGGGTCGTAAAAGCGCTCGAGCATGGCAATGACGGTCGACTTGCCACAGCCCGACGCACCAACAACCGCCACAAACTGGCCTTTTTTGATCTGCCGGTGGTCAGTTGTGGTAGATGATCATCAGCCAGCAGTGTAGTGACTTACCTCCAGGTCTACCCCCCGCAGAACAACAGCATCCGGGCGCAAGGGGTATGAGAACCGCACGTTGTCCAAAACGATTGGTCCCCCTGACTTTGGCCCTTTCTCGCGGTTTTCACTCGTCTCGCGCACCGTGGGTTGCAGCTCGGAGAGCCAGAAGATGTAGTTGGCCCCATTCTTTCCCTTGGTTATGCCTTGGACATTATCAGCAGTTGGCTTCTCGCCTACCTAGATACCTCAGCGAAACGTGGGATACTGACTGGTCGAGAATTGGAACATCTGGGCGGTAGCTTGGCCCGAGAAGAAAACAGCCATGAAAGCCACAAAGAAGTTGTACATGGACGTCTCATTGAAGGCGACCAGGCGGCAGCCGTACCTGTATCCCCAAGTTAGACAAGCCGGTTGATGTGACCGCTGCGGTCTCCAAGAACACATACCAAAACCCCAAGGCCTGAAACCAGTACTCGATGGACTGGGTCAACGCAAAGCAGACCATCACACCCGCAAGGGGCTTGACCGATCCAGACACGGCATGATCCAGCTCGGCCGTGTACCGCTGGAGAACGCGCTCCTCGATCGCCAGGGACGAAACGGTGCGGATGGCCGTGATGGCTTCCGACGCGATAGACGCACTTGTCGAGTTCTTTTTGGAGACTTCATGGTCGAGCCTCATATCCAACCGGATCTTGAGCCACCCAGCAGTGAGGAGCGGAGGCAACCCGCCAAAGACGACGACCAAGCCAAGCTTCCAGGTGTGAGCGACGCCTAGGATACTGCAAGCTAGGACATTCAGGACGGCGATGAAGATGAGGCCGACGTTGAAGCCCATCAGTTCAAAAACTGACTGCGGATTTGAGTCGACGCGGCTTGCCAAGGCGCCAGTACTGTTGTCGGGGCGGTCGAAAAACTGCAGATCCTGACGCAGAATGTCGTGGAAGATTTGTCTCCTGAGTTTATGTGAAAGGGTCTGGAAGCCATCAAGTAAGCGGGAACTCAAAGCAACAGAACACAAAAGACTTCAGGTCCTTACCTGGGCAACGACGTTCACCGACCAGCCCATGAGAAAGTAAAAGACAAGGCAGCCAGCAGCCAGGACGATGAACATGGAAGCAAAGTAGTCCCCACGGTCCGTCATGGCTTCGCCCGTAAGCGTGAAAACGTCCATCATCTTGGATATCAGTATAGCCTGGCCAGGGAAGAGGGCGGCTGTAGCAAGAGGCCTGTCAATGCGATTACTCCAGGAGTTACACTCGAATCACTCACCTGCTCCTACACAGGCGGCCATTACTCCCAGATACCACCAGCTCAGCTCCGGGGTGTACTTGATCAAGCGCAAGATGACGGCAATCAAGCCGACTTTTTTGTGCTTGTCAAAGTCATAACGCTCCTTCTGAGCCTGCAGCCGGGCCAGATCTTCGGTAGCGTATCGAGTCATGGTCTTGGTAAGCTCAGCGGGATGGCCCTCGTCATCAACAGTCGCATCGTCCTGCTCGGCATCGGACCCCGATCCGGCCGCTCCGACAGCGAGATCCTGGATCCTGACAAGCCTTGCGTAGGTGCCATTTTCAGCAATGAGGCCTTCGTGTGTTCCCTGCTCGACGATGCGACCCTTGGACATGACAACAATGTTGTCAGCCTTGCGGATGGTGGCCAGCTTGTGAGCGATGACGATGGTTGTGCGTCCCTCGGCGGCCCTGTCCAGTGCTTGCTGGACCACACCCTCGGCGTGGGGATCCAGCGCGCTTGTTGCCTCATCAAGAAGCAGGACTTTGGGACGAGACACGATGCTGCGGGCGATAGCGATCCGCTGTTTCTGGCCGCCAGACAGGAGACTTCCGCGCTGGCCAATGTCGGTATCATATCCGTTCGGGAGTTCCAGGACAAAGTCATGGGCAAAGGCTACTTTGGCCGCTTCCTGAACCTGCGCCATTTGTTCCTCCCTGGAGGCCTTCTCCCAAGGGGTGCCGACGAGGCCATGAGCGATGTTGTCAAAGACCGACCCTTGGAACAATACGGGTTCCTGTCACTGCGTTAGCACCAGGCATGGGGTATAAACTTCTCTTTGCAGCCTGCTTACTTGCTGAACAAGCCGGACATTCTTGCGAAGCCAGTTGAGATTCAGCGTGTCGATGGGTCTCCCATCGAGTTTGATGGTTCCCGAGGATGGACTGTACCATCTCTCGATGAGTCCGACAATAGTACTCTTGCCGGAACCGCTTTGACCCTGTCTGAGTTTCAGTTGGGCACCCCTCGCTGGACCTCGGCAAGTTCAGTGTGCAAGCAACTCACCACCAAAGCAGTCACCTTGCCTGCTGGCACCGTCAGCGAAAAGTCGTCCAGCACCGGAACCCCCGGACGCGTTGGGTAGGCGAACGAGACGTTCTCGAGCTCCAGGAGTCCATGGACTTCCGACGGCCGCTCGCCAGATTTGTCGAACGGGTCAATAGCTGACTTTCGGTCGATGAGCTTGAACAAGGCGGCAGCAGACGTCGCAGCGCGAGTGAACTCGATCGAGTAAGGGGCCAACATAGTGATTTGAACGGACCCAATGACGACAGACAACAGCACCCTGGGGCAGTCATCAGCGCCGGTCCCGCAATTGAACGAGGGCAAGCCTCAAAACCTACGTAAAGATCTGGCCAGACGACTCAATCTCGCCCCGGGCCAGCATGTGGACACCCTGCCAAAAGGCGAGGCCGAATCCCAGGTAAATGATGGTGTACTCGACCGAGAAAAGCACGCCAAAAAGGGGCGAGTTCTTGTCCCCCCACCGTCGAGCCTGCGTGAGATATTCGTCAAACTTGGCCACGAGCCTGGACCGCATCTCAAAGGCGTGCACGGTTCGGGCGCTGGCGAGCACGCCTTCGGCAAACGAGTTGGCCTGGGCCAGGATCTCGAGGACCTTGGTCTCGTAGCCGGTTTGGATAGTTGCGACGACGCCGATGACGAGGAAGTTGGCCGGGACGATGCATAGCGTGATGAGCGTGAGCTTCCATTGAGTCGCAAAGGCAACCACAAAAGCCGTGACGAAAGCGGCTATGCCTTGGAAGGTGAGGCCCAGTTTCTCCGAGATGCCGCCCTGGATCAGACGGCCGTTGGACGTCGCCTGCGTAGCGATGGAACCACCCGAGCCAAAGTCAAAGTAGGCCACTTCCTGGCCCAACGCCGACCGGAGGTAGGCATGCCGTATATTGCGCACGATCCGGTAGGCAGCATAGGTCAGGAGGGCATTGAAGACGTACGAGAGGACGAATCTGCCGATGCCGAGATAGACAAAATAGAGCCTGAAGCGGGCGAGTTAGCTCCGACATGTGTCATACGAAATCATGGGAGCCATACGCCAAGTCTGCAATGTCATCGAGAAAGACATCTATCGTCGACTCCCCTGAGGCGTAGTCCGTAATGACGGTCACGAATGCTCCGAAAATCAGGTTTTGCAGGGCGATACCGGCGCCGGAGGCGAGAGCGGCGACCACGGCTATGGCTTGGAGCGTGTACTCGAAGGCGCCGGCATATCGAAAAATGCGCTAGACAACAACAAAGTCAACAGTTGAGCTCTGGGAGAGGTTGTGCTCGCATGCGTCGATCCATACCCAATACGCATTCCAGGCGTTTTCATCATCCTTCTTCTCCTCGCCGGCATCCTGAGGGTTTGTGGCCTGTGGTGCGACAGAGTCTTTCTCTGCGCCGTCGATTCCCTTGTCCTTTCCGGTGCCGGCAGCCATCATGGATGCACGCCAAATGTAGAGCGCGTTGCCTTGTCTCAGTGCAGATGGGACTGGAAGCGCGACTCGGAGAGGGACATCTTCATGGATTCATTTCATATGCACAAGAAAGGTGGGTTTCTTTAAAAGTTTCGAACTACTTGGCGCCAAGTGTGCCTTCCAGGCGTCTGTCGCTCCATCGGGGCCGCTTGATAGACGCGTCCGGCCTCTGCGGGCGGGAGGATGACCCGGCTCTGGGGTCTCGGCGCAGGAAGCACTGGGCCGGATTGCACTCGGACTTTGCTTGGCAGCTGGTGTGTTCACGGCTGAGCATATCTCGTTCTAGACGAAACTGTGAAATGAGTCAAATCGGCAAACGGCTTGGCTTTGTTGGATCGCAAATGACGAATAATGACCCACTGTCATCCGCAACCGTGCTCTCAATCACTCCGGGCCCCGCGCGTCCCGCGGCTTCCGTTTCTCTTGAGGTGGTAGACACTTTCTGAGCCCAACTGCAGTCGCTCGCTGCTGGAGACAAAACGATCGGGCCCCGAATTGTCCTTGCAGGATCATGGAGGATTCTACGGACGAAGTTCTGCCACCATCGTCAACTGTGGCATCTCAAACCCCTGTTCCCAGGGCTGCAAGTCCAACCCGCTCCCACTTCCTCCAAGCCTCCTACTTGATGCCCGGGCAAGCTTAGCACTAACTGCGATTAGTGCGATGCTTGTCGAACACGCAAGGTGAGTCCTTCTTATTCGGATAGACCTCGAACAGTGAGCTGATTGCAGGCCTGGCAGATCCGCTGCAATCGGGAGTCGCCTTGTGCCCATTGCGTCCATGCCAAGATCGAATGCACTCAGGCCGGAGCTAGGCCACGAGAGAAACGGACTCGCATTCTCTTGACACACCAGTAGTGGGTTCTTCTGACGCCGAAATTCCTTCTTCTCACCGCGCATTTCTTATGGTTTTTGTCCAGTGAAAAGAAGATCGACCACATCGACCGGCGCCTCGATGGGGTCGTCCGACTGCTGGAGGAACTAAAGACGCAGCTGCCTTCACGCTCGCCGACGCCAACGCCAGTGCCCGTGCCCGCTGTGACAGCTAGCTCGAGCACTGTTGCCTCATCCGGCCCAACAAGCCATGCAAGCCATAGCACGAATGCCGAGTCGACTGAAAACGTGGTTGAAGGAGAGTCTTCGCTGACTGCGCACTCCGTCTTCGCCAACGATCTTCTCCAGAAGGTCATGAGCAGAGACTCGAGGCCGGAGATGAAGGAGAAGATAGAGGCTCTCCGGCACATGGTCGAAGTCATGAAGAAACAGCCGGCCGCCCACGAGATGACGTATCCGCACGCAAGGCCTGTTCGACCCGCTGCCTTTGAAGGATGCGACTTGCCGCCGATCGAAAAGACGGTACAGGTTCTCAAGCTTGCCAAGTGTAGGCAATGGAACCCTGCCCTGATGGTTGTACTGGCGTACCTTTGCTAATGACTATCCACTGGGACGTTAGCTCACCAGCAACTCGGCCTGGCGTGGATTTTCGAGCTATTTGAGATGGACCGCTTCCCAGAGACTTGCCTCAATCTCTACATGGCTGACGATTATAACGTAGCTCACTTCATCACCGTGAACGTCTCCCTGCACTACCTTTTTTGGACCTACGGCAGCCTCCTCTTGGACAGGCAGGCCGAATACTTTCGCCTCGCCCACCTCTGCGGGGTGAACATCGAGACCGCACTGTCCAGCCTGCCTCTGCATCTGCCAGCAACGGACGATATGCTTGTGGCTCTGTCATTAGGGGTAAGTGATAGAACCCCAGCTCCGTTTCCGTGTTCCTTTGGCTGACACGCTGGCCAGGCCTTTTACGCCGTTGAGCTCGCAAAGCCCTCGCTCGCCTGGATTCTTTCGTCCAAAGCGTCCGAGTTGTGCCAGTCTCTAGGTTACCATCGGATGGCAACATTTTTGCATGAGTCACCAGAACCGGCTCGCCGCAAGCAGTTCCTCTTCTGGATTGCATTCATCCTCGACAAGAGCTTGTCGCTCCGCCTTGGGCGATCCTCGACCATTCAATGTAACGATATAACCGTTCCCGAGCCAACAAGCGGTAATCCGGGCCATACTCCTATGATCACGGCCTTCTTTGGCTTGTGGGTCATCGGATCCAGGCTTCAGGGCGAGATATATGAGCTCCTCTACTGCCCCGGAGCCATCAACCAACCGCACCATGTCCGGCGCTCACATGCCGACCTACTTCTACAGCGGCTCGAAGAGCTCGACACGCTCACAGAAGCGGAAGCGGTAAGACCGCTCACCGCTCCAGATACCGTAACCAATGGGCTCTTATCTGACTGTTGCCTGCAGAAAAGGTGGGATGGTCTCTCCAGAGAAAGTTGTGGGAACGACATGACAGATTTCTTTGTCTTGTCAGACCACGTTCTCCGCCTCTCGATCCGGACGCTTATCCACCGGGCAATGCCCAACACCCCCGGTTCCCCTACAACCTTCTCGGTGGCCTGCATCCGAGCCGCGAGAGAGACGCTCGCCCGGCACCAAGAGTGCATGGCTGTCGTAGAGCGAACCAAGGTTGGACTGTTTTCGACCTACATGAATTGGTATGTCCCTCCCCCGTCGTACCATATGTGCAGCCAATGCTGACAAACTCAGGACAATCCTTTTTGCTCCATTCGTCCCATTCATTGTCTTGTTTTGCCAGGTGATCGAGACAAGGGACAGGGCAGATCTCGCTCGTCTGGAAGGCTTCGTTGCCTCGCTCCAGCCACACACAGCTGCCACCGAAGCCGTGGACAAGCTCCGTCGCCTGTTCCACGTGCTCTACAGCGTTGCCTCACAGTATGTCGAGTCTCTGGTGGGGGCCACGGGGGACGTACAGCAGCCGAGCACAGAGGTGGATACGTGCCTGGCCGCCCTGGGTTTCTCGTCATCTCAACCGGTTCCAGGGCAACAGGAGGCGGGTTTCCTACCGGGAAGCGGCATGGGCGATTTCAATGAACAGGCGTCCCAGAGGGGTGTCAACCCGATGATTTGGATGGGGAACGGGACTCAGCTCGAAGACTGGTTCTACAACAACCAGCAAATGATGACGTTCTTGGAGGACGGGTTTCCAGAAGAGGTCAGGTGGGGAGGCAGTTGAGCTCATTGGAATGATCCACCTGCCGGACGTATCCAGAGTTCATAAGCCACATCTGCAGCCGGGATTAGCTGTGGGCTTTTGTTTGTACTATGGTTCAAGTTGTACTTGTACAAGAACCTCTAGTATGACTGGAGATCAATGTTGTCGGCAAAAAGCGATTGACCTGCGGCGGCGTGACCGCTGGTACTTCCCCGGCCTTAATATTCCGCTGCGGCCGGCTTTGTTTGGAAGAGCCCGCAAGAAACATCCAGATCTCACCTGTTGACGCTGTACCTCGTCACGTTGAGTGCGGCTGTAGGCGGCGGCAGTTTATTTTCGGGCTATTTCTCTGAGTTTGGTGTAACCTACCTCACCTACATAGTGCTTGGTGTCCAGTTTCTTGGACCCGCGCTCTGCCGATCAATGTCGCACTGCCTGGCAATACGAGCTCCGAGCGCATGCTCAGATTGTCGGCTGGAATGTCCTGCACAACAATACGAAGTCAGGTGGCATTGGCATCGATATGCGACCCACTCGCTGAATGCATTCTCACCATGCCTCCTATGATTCCGTCTGCATGCTAGGTTTCCGCGCTCAGCTGCCATGGCTTTGCGGGAACGAGAGCGTAGCGAGCCTACATCTAGGCAAGATCAACATTGTGACTCGTCATAGGCTCAGCAAATGTAGGGCCTAAGGAAAGGCCGGCCTCTATATAAGGGCGGACAAATACCCCTCAAGGGATTTTTCGACATTTTAATCATCTCAAGCTCCTGACTTGCAGTCACCTCCTGTCTTCAGTGCATCAAGACAAGCCCCTCCCACTTATCAACATGCACTTCAGCGCTTTCCTAGGCCTCGCTGCCGCTGCCAGCGGTGCCTTTGCAGCTCCCACCCTCGACAACCGCTCCGACGCCGTCTCTGCCATGGCCCAGGTTCCGCAGTGGATCATCAAGTCCTTCACCCGAACCTGCAACGCCAACGACACGTCGTGCACCGTCTCCTTCGGCATCGACACGCAAACCGCCCCTGTTACTGCTTGCTCCTACACTGTCACAGGAACCCCCGCCAGCCGGGCCTCGACTAGCGGCATCACCTGCGGCCCTTACACCCTTAGCTCCGCATGGAGCGGCCAATTTGGCGACGGGAATGGCTTCACCACTTGGTCGGTAGTTGACTGGAGCAAGCGGCTTATCGTCTGGCCTGCGTACTCGGACCGCGAGCTTGTCAACGGCGTGGCGGTCACCCCGGACAAGAGCTATGCCCCGCAGAGCCTTGCTTAGATGGACGGTTGGGATACTCAGCCGGGATGTAACGAACAGAGATGAAGGAGAGATCCGAGAGGATTGTTGGGCTTGTCCCTGAGGGTTCGATGTGAATTACACTGAACATTCCATTACGTCAATACACACGGGTAGCCTAAATTCCAGTCAGACTTTTCATCTTCATCCCTAGTATTTGCTCTGACTAGGTACAACAGTAACTACGTACCTTGCCGCCTAAGCTGATGCCAGCTGTACCAAACTCCAACCTCGGAAAGACAAAAGACAAACGGCAACAGTTGCATGATATTAGACAGGAAGTCTGCGGCTACCCTCAAGCCGAGAGGAACCTATTGGACATCTGTCTTAGTCCTTGAAAATTGTACTAATCTCATTCCGGGCGCTTTAACTCCCCACCTCAGGGATTGTAGTAGAAGACCTCCTCAACTGGCTTCCACCACCCTGGCTCACCAGACTCGCTATCTTTGGCACCCGGCACCAGAGATTTCTGCATGCCATCCGTCATCCTCCACCATTCGCGCACCTTGGGATTCTCCCGCATAAGCGCCATGTCCCTAGCATAGTCGTCCCCAATATACTTGAAGCTCGCAAAGAGAATGCAGGTTTCCGGGTCATGGAAGATGCTGTCTGCAAATGCCCCGTCATCGTCAACGTTTACTCTTCAAATTCAGGCTTTGAATGGCTTACAGTCCACAATATTGCAATCGCTGATTTGCTTGAGGACCTCGGGCCAGACCGCAGCGTGTGCCTCCTTGTACTTCTCGACGAACTCCGGCTTCAATTTGACAATCTGTGCAAAGCGGCGGCCTGGATATTGAACTCTGGGCTCGGCAGATTGTTTGTCCCTTGCAGCCATCGTCGCTCCAGATAAAGACTGAGACATGGTTTGAGCTGTGCGATTCGAGCGAGGAGTCGGCGAAACAGTATCACAATGCTGGAAAGCCATGAGTTCCGGACCGAGACACGGGGGAAGTCTCGGCGCCGGTTCTTTTTAAAAGTACCTAGGCAACCCCTGACTTCCGGGCCCCGGACTAAAGAACCCCGAAGGTGGAGCGATAGAGCCCACCACAAGAGAACAACCATGAGCCGACACAAAAACCCCACAATACCTCTACAACACACGGGTTCAAACCTCCATCCGCAACACCGAGCCCTCTCCGATCATGCACGAACCTGTCTGTCACTTCTCGCCACTCGAGTCGTTTGCCGGTTCATGCTGAGTTCCAGGCACCCAAAGCGGCGAGTCCCCAATCCTGTCTGCAGTAAGGCCCGCTCGGCCCGGGTGCTTCATCCCCGCCTCGAGTTGCCGTTGGTAGGAGACGTTGCGCAACCGGTTCGCCTCGGCAGGCGTGAGATGAAGCTGCACAGGTTAATGTTGGCTCCGTCAGCGTTTTTCCGTGGGTTATTCAAAACTCACATAAACTTCAATCCCAACCGCATGCAGCGCCAGTGCAAGCCATAGTGCAGGTCCAAAAGCCATGCTCATTATGGCAATAGTGTTGGCTCCATTTTTCGTCATGCTTGCGGGGACGAGAACCATCTTATTTACGTCCTGCCGGGAGAAGTAGACGTCGCATTCGGGGAAGCTCTGAAGAGTCTGTTGATGGGATCCCGTAAAAGCGGCTACTTTGGCGCAGGGCATGGGAACGTCATACCCGTCGTCGCTGACGATGAGTGATGATAAGAACATGATGATCCGCATTGTGATGATTGATCCGGCCTAGAAAACGTCAGGCCTGTAAATTTAACATTGCACACGGTCCGAAGGGGAGGAACTTACATAAAACCAGGCCCGAAGCATCCATGCCCTGTGCTGCTCGATCTGCAGGCGCTTAACATTGTAGTAGGCAAGGCCCAGTGAGACAATGAATGCAACCGAGACCGTTCCGATCACCATCTGGGCGTCCAGCCTACCACCAACGGCGTGTCGTGAAAGCATGAAGGCACCGGCCGTGGATACCACACTCAGGACAAGGATGAGATAGCCATTGATGCGGTGGAAGAGGACAAAAGTTCGGCGGATGACGGGCACAAACTGCAGACAGGCGAGAAGGGCGGCGGGGAGTATGGTGCCAAGGTGCAGGAGAATGCCGACTCGGTCCACGGATCCCTCAGTGTAGTAGTAGCAATCGAGGGGCCGCTGGTCTCCGCTTCCTGTGGTGCAGCTTCGGTCGAGAGCGAGGTACTGCAGTCGAGCAAGAGTAAACCCCGTGAACGCCCCAACAAATATGAAGAAGAAGACAAAGTTGTAGCCCTTGGAGAATCCGATCGGGTTGTACACCTTGCGGGCCACGGCGACGAAGCGGTTAGCGGGGGGTCGGACTTTGATGTTGGCCATTTTGGCAGGCGCCGGATTGCAATCAGGAGTGTAGGTCGGATCGAGAGGAATGTCTGGAGGTAGACACATCTTGCCAGTCTCTGATCTGCGACGCACTATATAAGGCTCGAGATATCCAGGGTGGAGATGCCAGGGCCAGGCTGTTGTGCAACGGGTTGATGCGGGAATCCGAGTGCGAGTTTACCTAGTACTATTTCGATATCCAGTCGCGCGTAATCCTCAAAGCCAGCTAAGCCGTCTAACTTGCACTGGTAGGCGGAGATAAGCATCAACTAATTGTTGAGTGTACGAGGTGTTGCTTTCCTATTGAGGCAACTCGCATTCGCATGCGTGCGTGTAGGATTGGTCTTCCGCACCAACCAAGGCCATGTAACTCTCAAGCTAAGCCTCAACTGTCGCGTTGAACGAGTACAGGATAGACGACAGACAGGTTGAATTGCGCAAAAAAAATTGCTGGGGACCGTTGACAATTATGAACTTCGAAAATGCAAGCCAATGCCTCCTCACGAGCCTTGATACCGGGTCTTCTTCCCCCTAGATGCCTTCTCCACCAGCTCTCTTAAGGTACAGTACCTAAGGCAGGCAGTCAAAGAACCTTCTTAGACATTTCCTTCACTATTTGCTATGGCTGGCTCTCAAGAATCTTTCTCAAATCGAGTTTCTAAATCTGCCACACACGTCTGGCGCCCCCATGCGGCTGAGTCAGGTAGTACCCTCTTTGAAGACTGAAGAACACTTGTCTGTGACTCAACCCAAATCGGTAACTTATGGGCGGAAGCACTAGTAGTGGGCTTGCAGTAGCTTTTGAACCACATTCTTGCTTGGAGCTCGGCATCTACTCTTGGACATCCGCCTCTCTAGAACAGTCATACCGCTCCGCCTGGCAACGATGAGCCCGGTTCCCAAGCACCTATCAAAGTCCGAGTTACCGACATAGTCAAATTTGTATACTCAGTCTATGCAGTGCATTTGCGGTTCTGGTTGACTGTATGCAAGGAAGCTCAATCATATCCACGATGGCAGACAAACTACGGCAACGTCGAGCAAAAGATGGTGCCAAACATCATGGACAGGCGACAGACCCATGCCCGTGTAATCTCCGGAACCGGAGTATATCTCAGTGGCGCATAGAACAGCTGACGGCAAGGACAGATCTCAGGGTTCACATGAAAGTGACATACATGCTCCGGGCTAGTAGATAGATAAGTTACAAGGGTGCAAAGGTTCGTGGAATTGGGACCATTGGGACTAGTCATAGTACTCACTGAAATCACTGTTCCAAATTCAGGGTCAAACCTCCCATAAGTACCTTGATTAGAAGGTTGGCGTTTGCCTCTGAGATCATCAGATGCGATCGGGCTGGGCCACAACTTGGCTCTCAGTCTCGGCGAAGTCCCAGCGGAGTAGAAGAGGCGATTGGAGTGGAACAACAGCGCAGCTATCAGGTTCAAAAGTCATGTCATTCTGCCGCAGCGTAGTTGCCAAGGCAAATACGTTGCGAATTCTCTTCGAAGAGTGACTCATTTGACTTTCGTCAAACGTGAGAAAGACGTCACAAAGCACCGTCGCAAAAGCGCTGGGAACCGACAGCGGAGAAGAGATCGGAGGTTTAGTAATACCGGTTCTTGGCTCTTGCGCGTCCTGTTCCATGCTCGGCCGCTTGGCAGTTCAATGGCCCGTACCTCGCCGCACGTGGCCACGCGTCAAGATCGAGACGTCTGAACGTGTCCAGCAGCTTCCACGGATGGATCAAGTTCTGGTGATACCTTAGTCGGCCGGGGCACTCTCCCATTCCGTCATTAGTGGGAACTTCCCCACGGATTTTAACGGCACTTCAAACCCTGATCCCATGATTGCCCGGTACCGGCCGGAATCCACGTGGATTCCAAGCCCGTTGCGGTTATGATTCCCCACTTCGTGGCACCAGCAAGGTTCTCGCGCAATTAATGCCGGCCGCCACAGCAGATACAGTACACGTAAGGTAAGGTACGATGGAGTCTCTGGAGGGCAGGCTCAAGCTGGATGGGACTTGGCATGGCGGTAACTTCCAGAAACCGGCTCAAAAAGAATCCGCGGGGAAGGGTTTTGAAGGCGATCGAATCTCCGAAAGCGCCGAGTATCACAGTTAGACCAATGAACGAAGAGCATATTACGGATCCCTGCAGCATGTCCAACGCGTTGATACGCCGTCCCACCGGCCGGAGCCGTCCCGGAAAGGTGGCCGTTCAACCGCCTCCGAAATGCCATCGATATTGCACTGTACCTGAAGATATCGGGTGCACGTACTTATGCTAGGAGTATGCACGGAACCACATGCTTTTATTGCCGATCATGAACTGATTCCGGCGGCTGACGGGCCATTATGAGGGCTGCACCACTGGAGAATCCTCTTTGATTCTTACCGTACAGGGCGGCGGGAGTGCAGGAAGCGGACAAGATGACGGGATTTTGCCCCTCATTGATGCGGGGTTGGCGTGAGCGGTACTTCTTGTCCGTGAGCGGGGTATCGTACTCCGTAAATGTCCCCGGGATACACATTCCGGACGACCCCGAGGCGCTTTATAAGCTTGCTTACCGCCACTCCTTGTGCTCCTCGAAGCTCCTACATCTCCGCCCATAAGCCTTATATAGGCTGTTATCACTTTGCAAGTTCCTCGCTTAGTTTACCTTCCACCCAAACAATCATTAATCACCAGACGACATCATGGGTGCAAAGGAATGTCCCGCCCGCTTTGCCAACGTCGCCGGCGGCGGCACCAGGAACACTGATTGGTGGCCCAAGCAGCTGCGGCTGAACATCCTCCGCCAACACCAGCCCGCCTCGAGCCCGTACAGCAAGGACTTCGACTACGCCGCGGCCTTCAAGTCGCTCGACTACGAAGCCTTGAAGAAGGACCTGAGGGCTCTCATGACCGACTCGCAGGACTGGTGGCCTGCCGACTTTGGTCACTACGGCGGTCTCTTCATCCGCATGGCCTGGCACAGCGCCGGCACCTACCGCACAACTGACGGCCGCGGCGGTGGCGGACAGGGCCAGCAGCGGTTCGCCCCGCTCAACAGCTGGCCCGACAATGTCAGTCTCGACAAGGCACGCCGTCTGCTCTGGCCCATCAAACAGAAGTACGGCAACAAGATCTCGTGGGCCGATCTGATGCTGCTGACGGGCAACGTCGCCCTCGAGTCAATGGGGTTCAAGACTTTCGGCTTCGCCGGCGGCCGTGCCGACACGTGGGAGGCCGACGAGGCGACATACTGGGGCGGCGAGATGACGTGGCTCGGCAACGAGGTTCGGTACTCTGGCGGCAGCGAGGGTATCGCAGGCGAGGGCATCTTGGACGGCGACCAGTCCAAGAAGAATCACTCGGATATCCACACGCGCGATCTCGAAGAGCCGCTGGCCAACGCCCACATGGGTCTCATCTATGTCAACCCCGAGGGGCCCGACGGCATTCCCGACCCTGTCGCAGCAGCCAGGGATATCCGCACCACCTTCGGCCGCATGGCCATGAACGACGAGGAGACGGTGGCACTCATCGCGGGCGGCCACACATTTGGCAAGACGCACGGCGCTGCCCACTCGGACAACGTCGGCAAGGAGCCCGAGGCGGCATCCCTGGAGCAGCAGGGTCTCGGCTGGGATAACAAGTATGGAACCGGCAAGGGACCCGACACCATCACCAGCGGCCTCGAGGTCATATGGACCAAGACGCCAACCAAGTGGTCCAACCACTATTTCGAGTACCTCTTCAAGTTCGACTGGGAGCTCACCAAGAGCCCAGCGGGCGCCAACCAGTGGGTGGCCAAAAACGCCGACGACTTCATCCCCGACCCCTATGACCCCACCAAGAAGCACCCACCACGCATGCTCACCACCGATTTGGCGCTGCGCTTCGACCCCGAGTACGAGAAGATCTCGCGTCGCTTCTTGGAGCACCCGGACCAGTTTGCCGACGCTTTCGCGCGCGCATGGTTCAAGCTGCTGCACCGCGACCTCGGCCCGCGCTCGCGCTGGCTCGGCCCGGAGATTCCCTCAGAGATACTGATCTGGGAGGATCCCATCCCGCCGGTCGACCACCCAATCATCGATGACAAGGACATCGCCGCCCTTAAGAGCGAGATCCTAGCCACCGGCGTTGCTCCTTCCAAGCTAATCTCGACCGCATGGGCGTCGGCCTCGACCTTCCGCGGCGGAGACAAGCGTGGCGGCGCCAACGGCGCTCGGATCCGTCTTGCGCCGCAGAAGGACTGGGAGGTCAACAACCCGGCGCAGCTGGCCGAGGTGCTCTCGGCGCTCGAGGGCGTGCAGCAGAAGTTTAACTCGTCCGCTTCTGGCGGCAAGAAGGTGTCGCTGGCCGACCTGATTGTGCTCGGCGGTGTTGCCGCGCTCGAGCAGGTTATTGATGGTGGTGTATCCGTTCCCTTCGCGCCCGGCCGCGCCGACGCGTCGCAGGAGCAGACCGATGTCCACTCATTCTCGCACCTCGAGCCCAAGGTCGACGGATTCCGCAGCTATGGCAAGGGCACGTCACGAGTCTCGACCGAGCAGTTCCTGGTCGACCGCGCCCACCAACTGACGCTGACGCCGCCCGAGATGACGGTGCTCGTGGCCGGCCTGCGCGTGCTCGGTGCTAACTGGAATGGCTCCTCGGCCGGCGTCTTGACGTCGCGGCCTGGTAAGCTGACCAACGACTGGTTTGTGAACTTGCTGGACATGGGCACGGCGTGGAAGTCGATCGACGGCGAGGTGTATGAGGGCCACGACCGGAAGACGGGCGAGCTGAAGTGGACGGCTACGCGCGCCGACCTCGTCTTTGGCTCGCACGCTGAGCTCCGTGCCATTGCCGAGGTGTACGCCAGCGCGGACGGGCAGGAGAAGTTCGTCAAGGATTTTGTTGCGGCGTGGAACAAGGTCATGAATCTCGATCGGTTCGATATCGGGCAGTCGAGCCTGTCGGCCAAGTTGTAGTTTATTGTTGTTGAGGGCTCGGGACGCGCTCGCAACTTATTATTCGCAATTGACTCGATTGTGGTTCGTGATGTACAATCCCGTGTACCTTGAGCAAAGTGTGAGTGCAATGCACGTCGCATTGGTGCGACTTTGTCGATGTTGGAAAGGTGGAAACGATGGCACTCGTCGCGATTCCCGCCACAGCTTTGGAGGTCGGCCCACTTCGCGTCAAAGGGGCCTTGGCACACCAAGGCCCCAACCTGGGAATGACAGCAAAACTTCCAGGTTGCAGGGAGCTCTCAATTTTGCTCTTCTACAGCATCATACAGTTCGAGACAAGCGACGTGTTGAAAACTATAGCTAGAAACCCAAGATTGATCATCGACACGATTCTTATCATTGCGACTCCGAAAATCGGATTCTGGCAGATGAGATCAAATTTCTCGAGCTACAAGCTCCCGCGCGACATCCGAACAGGTTCGCTGAATTTTGTTTAGTGCTTTTACTCTGGCCTCTTCAACTCCTGTCATCACGGTAAAGCTACGTCTGAAATAACGCCTGGACTCCCGAGAAAGCTGGGCAGCGCGTTGCTTATGTGGTTGTCAAGAAGCGCATCATAAGTCGACGCACCACCAGGAAGTTGATGGATCAGTTGTCTGAGGTATCTAATGTTCTCCGATCCTGTGCGGCTCTTGTCCGTGGCCGGCACGCGGGAGAGCACGTCTACCATGGCGCAGGTGATATCAAACACCTTCTCGTTGATGCCGACACCGTGGATGCTGATGCTGCCCAGAGACATGCCCCGAATGACACCGACCAGCTCTTCACCGACATTGACAGGGTAGCGGAGTGTCAGGTGGCCTGGTGTCCCGAGCTCCTCCTCGAGCAATCCCAGACGCAGCCGGAGTTGCCAGAGAATGACCAACAGCCACAGCCGGGTCACCTCGAGATTGGCAAGCTGCGTTTCGCAGAGGATCCTGCTGTGGTGTGGCTCCGGCCCGCCGCGAACGGCGGACTGGATCGCCTCTAGCGAGGCGGGAACTCGAGACCCGAACAGCGTGTCCTCCTGGTTGAGTAGGGCGAAAAATGGAGTGTCGAGAGGGCGGAAGAGAGCGACAAGATTCCTCAACCCCGTCAGACCTGCATCTGGTGATCCCGCTCCCTCGCCCTCATTGAGGTCAGGCGCTGTAGGGGTGACCTGCAATGTGATGGGCCGCCGATATCGAATCCCATGCGAGCGCTCCGATACCAGAATCACCCAGAACAGCCGATCAGCCAGTCTCCGCCTCAAGCTGTCACTCTCATCGATACGCAGCACCAGCCATAGGGTAGCAGCGTCTCGAAGGAAGTGGAATGCCTGGCTGTGGTGGAAGAGCGATGCATGGCCGGTATAAAGGAAAAAGGTGGACAGGGCTCGTTCCAGGCAAGGGACGAATTCCGACGACAGTTGATGGTGCGCCGCCATAGCCTTCTCGAAGAGGAGCTTTCCAAACTCGCTGTTTGAATGCGGAATGCCTTCCTCCTGGAACAGCCGCTGGTTTGGCTCTTCCACACGGATTAAAACGACCGCGCAGACCGCCGTGACGAGACATTCAGCTTCGCCTCCCCCGGGCGACTCTGCCTCTGCAGTCATCAGGTCGGCGTACTCCGGGGTTAAGATGGGAATAGTAGGATACAGCGCGGCAAAGAAGCGACGGAAGCAGTAGCTGACGACCGAGGCAGGGGGCAGAGACGGCGGCTGTGGACCCGTGGCGAGTGTTCTGGGGACGGCGAGGAGCGTCTCCGTCGAGACACTTGCTGGTGGTACCTGCGGATACGACCAGTTTCTGTCGACCGCCATCTGCGGTTCCAGCTCCTCATTTCGGATGCACTGGTCTTCCAAGCCGACCCTGATGCACCGCTGACACGGCCTAGATGCGCTGCAGCCCTTCTGCAGTCTTCTGCACCGGTGGCAAGCTTTGGAGACCTGTGCTCTTTTTGGCCTTGACAGAGCACTGTCCCGACACCTGACCCCGGTTGCATCGTTGGGCAAGCCAGCCATCATGGCGAATGGTGTGTGGGCAGGTAAGGTATGTACATGTATGGGCGCTTGGGCCGAGATATGAAACGTCAGGAGCTCAGGAGCGGGGAGAAAGGGAGATTCAAAGAGTCCCTAGCCTGTTTGGGAAGACAAGCAAACTCCACTCCAACCTTGCGGATCTGCCAAGCACAGTTGAAGCAGTTGGGACAATAGAAAAGAGGAAGACATCACATTACATTTCTGTCTTCCTTGCTATCAGCACTTCAAGGCTCAAAGTTAAGGTACACCCTCCCTTCCCAAGGCCTGAGCTCCCCTCCAAGCGCAGGATCGCCAATTCTCAGAGTGTCGACAAGCAGCCTCGCCTCGCCCTTTCGGCACCGTAACGCAACATCAATAGCCGGGCATTTCTGAGGAATGCTGCTGAAGTTCATCACGACCAGTGCTTTCCTTCGAACATTCTCCGAGCCAGGACCGACCCTCACATCACTCTCCTTGACATACATGAATAGAAACTCATCTTCTGGCGCAAGGAGCTTGAACGTGCCATGGATAAAAATGTCTCGATACTGTTTGCGAATCCTCAGCATCTTGCCGTAAAACCCCAGGACGGATTCGGGGTCTTGCAGCTGCTTGGCCGCGTTCAGCTCGCGGTACCCGTCGTGCACCCGCATCCAAGGGACCGCCCCTTCGCTGGTAAAGCCAGCATTCGCAGAGTCGTTCCACTGGAAGGGCAGCCTCGAGTGGTCCCTGGCCAGGATCCGCAGGCCATGCAGCGTCGCCTCAACACGCTTCTGATCGCCCGACTGGACCGCCTCGTTATAGAAGCCCATGCTCTCGACATCCTTGTACTCGTCGATGCTCCAGCTGGCCGGCATGTTTCGCATACCGATCTCCTGGCCCTGGTACAAGAACAGCGTCCCAGTCAGAGTGGCCTGCCATAGGGCGATCGTCTTGGCGCTCGCCTCCCAAAGCTCAGGGGTGCCGTCGTTCCCGAAGCGCGAAACAGCGCGCCCGTTGTCGTGGTTCTCGCAGAAGACGGTATGCCACCCGTCGGTGCCCTCGATGAAAGTTTGCCAGGTGGCCACGTGCCGCTTGAGCGCCGACAGCGGGAACGGGCGGTACATGTACTTGCCGTGGAAGAGGTCGCCGGTTCCCAGGCGGATCAAGCTGAACTCGAACACCATATCCAGTTCGCGCGCCGCCGCCGACACGTACGGGAGCACCTGGCTTGGCAGAGGTGTGTTGGAGAGCTCCCCGACCGAGACGGCTCTGTAGGGCGTCAGCACCTCGGTCTGCATCTCGTGGATGAACTCGTGGATGCGCGGGCCGTTGCACCACATTTCCGGCGCGGGCTGGTGCTGGGCGTCCGGACAGGTGATGGGCGCGTCGGGGAAGTCGGTCCGCTTGGAGTACTTGTTGACGGTGTCGATGCGGAAGCCGTCGACGCCCCGGTCTAGCCAGAAGCGCATGGCGACGTCGTAGATGGCGGCGCGGCACTCGGGGTTTTCCCAATTGAGGTCTGGTTGGAAGGGGCCGTAGAGATTGAGGTAGTACTCCTGCGTGTGCTCGTCCCAGGTCCAGGTCGATCCGGCAAAGTAACTGCGCCAGTTGGTCGGCGGGAAGCGGTTGCCGGCGCTGTCGTATCGCGGCGGCTTCCAAATGTACCAGTCCCGCTTGGGGTTTGTCTTGGATGACCGGGATTCCTTAAACCACGGGTGCTGATCCGACGTGTGGTTCACCACGAGGTCGAGAATCAGCTTCATCCCACGACTGTGGCAGGATTGTATGAGCTGATCCACATCCTGGAGGGTACCGTATCGTGCATAGACGGCTTGGTAGTCCGAGATGTCGTACCCCATGTCCTTCTGCGGACTCTCGAACATGGGGGAAAGCCAGACCACATCAACACCAAGGTGATGGAGGTAGTCGATCTTCGAAATAAGGCCCGGGATATCTCCCCATCCGTCACCGTTGGAGTCTTTGAAGCTTGCTGGGTAGACTTGGTAGAAAACGGCGTCCTTCCACCATGGCGTGTTACCGACCCACCCGTTTGGGTGATAGTGGAAATCAGAGCCCATGGTCAGGTCTGGCGTGTAAATGTGCAAGTCAAGATCGGGATGGTCGTCAGGAACAAGTCGAAATCAAGGGATTGGATGAAAACACGGATTAGTTATCGTCTTGCCAAAGGGGCTCGCCAGGAACCGGAACAACCCATAGTCTCATGCATCCTTCAGGCTTCTCTCTGGCCCACAGTGGTGTCCTGGCCTCCTAACACCTGTCGGTCGCACTCCGACATCCATGTCCTGGACGCCACATGGGGCGATGTCAGGAGCAGCGGCCGCACTTGTGTGGACAAAGCGGAGACAAGATGAATAAGCGGATTTCTTCATGAGGACTGACAGGTCCAGGCCGTGTGGAATTCCCGCTGTGATGGTCATCTCAACCCAATCGTGCATGTTGTGGACTTCCAGATGAACTGAAGTACTCCCGAACCAATAAGGGTCATCGAAACTCCGCCCATGCCTCCGACACCCCGGTCAGATCAGCCATGACATCAATGCCAAGCGGCGGAGTACGAACACTTTTTTCTGCTTTGGTGTTCCTTCGGCATGGCCTCGTTGCATGAGATTCGCGAGACCGCAGTCTTGCCCCAGAAACCCGCGAGTCCGGGAGCGGGGAAGACCGGTTTCTGGGGTATGGCGGATCACTAGCGTACTTTCCTTCGTCCTGTGACAGGAAACACTTCACCCCGCCGTTTTGAATTCTCTCTCCCACGAGACCCTCGGCTGATGTTCCCCTTTCGAGGCCACCCTGACTGCCACCCGGGCCATGAGCACCTCGCAGATACTTGGTACGCACCACTCGCCGGTCTGGAATAAATACCCTGAGCCCGCCCCCTCGACTGACGGTGGCACTTGAAGACCTCACAGTCTTGGAGGATATCATTGACTCTCTTGGGTCTCTCACTAGGAAGTTGTGACTCAACACCTACAAAACACCATGACGGACCTCAAGGTACCCTCTCCCCGGGACGGTCCTCACTCCAACAAGGCGACAGATGCCCCTCCTCAAGATGGCGATGCCATGTTGGTGGAAGCCAAGCATGCCTCCGACAAGGAGCACCAGATGTCCCTCCTGAAGGCCATCAAGCTGTACCCCAAAGCTATTGGCTGGTCGGTGCTGGTCTCGGCCACCATCATCATGGAGGGTTACGACCTCGCCCTGCTCGGCAACCTCTACGCCTCTCCGGCCTTCAACAAGAAGTTTGGCCAGTACGACGCAGCCGCGGGTAAATATGTCGTCTCGGCGGCCTGGCAGTCCGGTCTGTCCAACGGTGCTCGAGCGGGCGAAATATTTGGACTCATCTTTGCCGGCTGGACCTCGGACCGCTTCGGGTACAAGATGACGACCATTGGATCCCTTGTCCTGATGATCTGCTTCATTTTCGTCTTGTTCTTTGCACCGAACGTGCAGGTCCTGGTGGCCGGGGAGGTTCTTTGCGGTGAGTCTTCCACGCTTGCCGTTATTGCTTCCATGTCGAGAGTTGTCAACTAAACCACCATCCTCCAGGCATCCCATGGGGTGCTTTCCAAAGCGTGACGGCAGCGTATGCCTCCGAAGTTGCCCCCATGGTCTTGCGCCCTTACCTCACCACGTTCATCAACATGTGCTGGGTTATTGGACAGTTCTTTGCCGTCGCTGTCAACAAGGGCTCGGTGGGAAGAAGCGACGACTTCGCCTACAAGATTCCATTCGCGGTGCAATGGGTGTGGCCGGTCCCAATCCTTGCCGGCATCGTTTTCGCCCCCGAGTAAGTGCCGATTCGACCATGTCTTCCAAGGGAAAGTGAGATTGTACTCGGATGCTGACTACCATTTCCAGATCCCCGTGGTGGTATGTGCGGCATGGCAAGAGGGAGCAAGCTAAAAAGGCGCTTCTGCGTCTGACCTCTCGCAACCAGCCCGACTTCGACGTGGATGAGACAATCGCCATGATCGAGCACACCAACCAGCTCGAGAAACAGATGAAGGAGGGAGTTCGCTTCCGGGATTGCTTCAAAGGCATCGATCTCCGCCGAACTGAGATTGTTGTCGGTATCTGGCTCGTCCAAACCCTTGGCGGCCAGAATCTGATGGGCTATTTCGCTTACTTTCTGTGAGTTTGGCACAGAAAACCTCTACTGCAACTTTTCGTGCTCTTGCTGACTCTGATTTGAACAGTACGCAAGCCGGCATGGACCCTAGCAACTCTTTTACGCTTTCACTCTGTCAATATGCTCTCGGCATGATCGGGACAGCTGGGTCTTGGGCGCTCATGTCCCGCGTCGGCCGCCGGTCAATCCATCTCGGAGGGCTGTGTGCACAGTTGGCACTGCTCGTTATTGTGGGCTGCCTGTCCTTCGGGACGACCAAGGCGTCCGTGTGGGCCATTGGCGCCATGCTTATTATCTTCACCTTTGTCTATGACTTCACCGTCGGGCCCGTCACATACTCGCTCGTTTCAGAGCTGTCGTCGACTCGTCTCAAGGCCAAGACGATCGTGCTGGCCCGCGCCGCCTACAACGCCAGCAACATCTTCGTCAACGTCATGACCAATTATCAGCTGAGCTCGACCGCGTGGAACTGGGGCGCCCGGACAGCGTTTTTTTGGGCTGGCACTTGTTTGCTGTCCGCCATCTGGGTCTTCTTCAGGTTACCGGAGCCGAAGGACAGGACATATGCGGAGCTTGATCTCTTGTTTGAGCGACGTGTCCCGGCGAGGAAGTTTGCTAGGACAAAGATCGACCCATTTGCCCATGCCAGCCAGAAGAGACTATCAGCCGAAGAGGTGGAACACGTGGAAAAGGAGGCCTGAAACTGGTAGTCATTTAGCTCCAGCCAAGATCGCGAAATGACATTACCCTCTCTCGTCCCCTACTGGCTGCACTGTCTTGTACGGTTCAGATCACTTACAACCTGTTCAGGCTCGATTCCTAATGAGTTCTTATATTAGATACACCAAAGCAAGGCCAACTAATTGCCCCTAGCCCTCCTAGCCTTTGCTGCTTTGCACCGGCTGACGGCCTTCAACCGCCCGTCCAGCGCAATGTCCACAGGCGACGTGGCACCGATATGGTTGATCAGGACCTGGTCCATGGTATCCAAGACCACCAGGTCCTCAAACGGGGGACTGAAGAAATTGTCACCGCCGCCAGCGATGAAGTCGACAGTGACGATCTTGTACTCGGCCGCCCTGTCCAGTGGCTTGTCCCCGATCGTCACCGAGACCAGGACGTTGCTAGTGCTGTTGGCAGCCGAGGGGGCATACTCGATGTGCACACCGCGGCTGACCTGCAGGAACGATGTGACTGGCCTGCCGTTGTCCACGTTGACGCGGGAGATGATGCCCTCGAGTGTCCTCCAGAGGCGATCTCCGCTCATGGTCACCTCGACCACCGCGTTGCTGAAGGGGAATGCCGTCAGGACCTCGCCGCGGGTGATGGGACCCTCGTCAATGGTCGCCCGAATGCCGCCGGCGTTGACGATGGCGAATGCGGGCGCCGTCTCGGGGGTGCTGAAGTTGAGGCGGTATTGCAGCAGGGCGCTGTCCGTGTGTTAGTGACGCATCACACTCAACTGGCAATTCACTGACGACAGTCGAATGGGGGAGCTCACTCGGAAACGAAATCACCCAGCAAACACTCCTGCCGCTGGCACGTTGACTGGTCCAGGACCACATTGGTGTAACCGACCTCCTGCTTCGCAAACTCCTCAAACGGTCCCCGCCACTCGTCAATCTGCGTCTGCAGCTCCTCGTCCTGGGCCGTGGCGTTGGTCAGGTGGATCGGCCCGCCATGGTACGAGAGGATCTTGCCCTGGGCGTCGTAGGTCACATCAATGTAGCCCAGGTACTCGCCCCAGCGGTACGCCGTGACGATGAACACCTCGTCGCCGTCCTTGTTCTCGACGATGGTTGGGTACGGGCCCGCGGCGCCGGCGAAGGCGCCAAGCGGCGTGTGGCTGTGTCCGCCCATGATGAGGTGCAGGCCGGTCGTCTCGCGCGCCAGACGCTGGTCCTCGTCGTAGCCAATGTGAGTGAGGGCGGCGATGCGGGTGATGTTGGTGGTGGAACGGATCAGGTCCACTGTGTTCTGGACGGCTGCCACGGCGTCGGTGAAGGTGGTGCCCTTGCCCGGCGATGAGATGCCGGGGGTGGTCTCGGTTGTGACACCGATCACCGCCAGCTCGTACTGCGGAAAGATATGGAACGGCTTGATGGTGCGGTTCAGGACCGGATGGTCCGAGATAATATTGGCGCTGACGATGGGGAAGGTCAGGTTCTCAAGGAATTCGCCCAGGTGGTCATCCCCGCGGTCGAATTCGTGATTGCCCAGCGTCATGGCATCAAAGCCGATCTGATTGAGCGTCTCCGCAATCTTCTCGCCGCCGTAAAAGGAGAAGAACATGGTCCCCTGGAACTCATCGCCTGCGTTGAGCAGCAGCGAGTCCGGATGCGACGGCCGCGTCTCCTTGAGGACCGTCTTGACGCGCGCATAACCTCCAAAGCACCCGCGTTCTGGCCGCGTGCAGTCGGTGCCCGAGGACGAGAACTCGTCGAGATGCGCGTGAACATCGTTGATGTGGTAGAAGGAGATGTTGTAGTTGCCAGCCTCGTCGATGAAGCGCTTGGAGAGCCTGCGGCTGACGAGGTGGTCCTCCTTGGCTGCAAGGGCCGCGCCGAGTAGGCAGGCGCTTGCGAGAAGGAACTTCATGGTCACTTGCAGATATGAGAGAAGATGATGTCGTTCCAAGTCAAAACCCCAAAACGCCCCCTCGTGTAAGCGGATGTCGACCTGAGGCACGCGTGGCGGTCTTTCACTACTGTGGTGATTGCTCGCGCGTGCAGTGTAACCACGGAAAGACGATTCATGGATCGGGCCCAACAAGTTGTCTCAGATGTGTCGACGAGTTATATCGTGGTACTGCTGAGGAGCGGAGGCCTTATCCCTGGAGTCACTCATTAGATTCGGCCTTGGCAAACTCATCTGGAAGGAGCAAGGCCCTATCATTTTGCTAGAAGTCAATCCGTGTCTATCACCGGAGGTGCATTGCACCGCGGCCTCGGTGTCCTGTCTGGAGACTGGGTTGCGGTATGCTGCCGTTCATGTTACCTTCCATTTTAGGGTCGTTGCAGCTTCGGTTTGGCCTTCCCGAAAGCGCCCGATAGCGGGGCGCGGGGCGAATTGCAACACCCCCGGTCAATGATTGTCAATCATCAAAACACGTGGAATCAAAGGAGCCCCACGTGCAATGGTTGGATTTCTGGATTCGATGTTCGCTGCGAGGTGTGCGCACGGAATACTTGAACTGAGCATCCCCCAGAATCCACGCGCAAGGCTTCGATCTGGAGATGATCGAACTTGTTGTGACGTGTCTGTGAACCAACAACTTGAGCGAGTTCGAAGGAGGGCTGCGTGCCTATCGGATCTCTAGAGGGGAACGCCGTCGATGCCGAGAATATAGGTAGGCTGCAGCCTGAAATTTCGCTTCACTTTGACATCACTGGCCCCAAAAGTTGAGGATAACCTAGAAGCTCGATAGTCCGACCCCCTTGTGGAAGAGGTGACATCTTATCATCGTGCCGGCAGTCGACGTCGGAACTGCTGGACAGGATGATACTGCCGGAGACATGGAGATTATTATGAAGCAATTCCGTAATGAGCTCTAGGCTCCTTCAGGCGCAGTTGCAAGCTCGCAGCCGCAGGGAAGTAGTTCCACTTGTAGGTTTTGACTAATTCCAGGAGCAGACTCGTCTCTCGACTTAAAGGCTAACGGGGACAGGAAGGGGAAAATTAGACTCAAAAGTACAGTACAGTAGTCCTCAACTTTAGACAAACTTCGGCGAGCCATTTACAGTTGCTGTGAATCGCACATCCCAGCCACCCACCTCTCCATTCACAAGCTTCCAATAGGCTTCTCCATGCGCCGCAGCATTCACTTGGGGATACGGCACCGAGCCGCCCTCTTCGGTAACTTGGGAAGCAAAATAGAACCTGCGCCGCAAACGTGTGATGAGGTCAGCCATGAGTCTAAGAAGCGTTAGCCGTAGTGGCAGAGTTGACTGGCACTTACCTGAACTCCTTGGCATCGTAGGCAAGGCTTCCGATAGAGATGATGTGAGCCAGCGCAGACTTGCCGGCGCCAAGAGTCACAGCCAACGGGTTGGGCTGGAAGGGAGTAACATTGCCCGTAGCAATGAAGACCAGAGGGGAAGTCTCATTCTGCCGCTGTCGCGCGAGGCGAGTGGCATGATGGAGGGCACTATACGCAGCGCTCGCATTGACTGTGAGATCGCGGGCAAAGTCGTCTGGTGTCACGCCGAATGGATCCTTGTCTGGCGGAAAGGTAAGGGCGGCAGCTAATCATTTACCCAAGTCCGTCATCAGTTGTGTGTCCGTTCATTCTTGTGCAAGGTTAAAGATGAACGAAAGTACCGTTGTACACAACTGCGGTTGGGACCCCGAGCTTTGACTCAACCTCGTTGAAGGCATTTTCAATGGTTTCTGGCTTGGTGACGTCGACGTATACAGGAATTGCACCATCAACATCGACCTTGTCAATGTGACGTCGCCCTATTGCGACTTGGTACCCCTGGCTCAGGAATTTCCGGGCTACGGTATGGCCGATGCGCGGTCCGCCGCCAATAATGAAGAGCACCTTTTGCGAAGCCGCCATTTCGACGATTTGAGTCTGTTGAGGCTGTATGGACGAGGGAGGCGAGTGGATGTGGGCAGTTGCATGTCATCCAAGGCGATTTGCTACCTACTTCATGGGTACCCCATCTTATTATACAGCGACTGTACGGACTTACTCCCCTTGACTCGGAATTACGAGCTCGTTTCTCGTTTCTTAGCAATCTCTAAAGACGAAATCTAGATGCCTCGGACATCTGGAGGTGCCGCAATTACTAAGCTGGCTTGCCAATTAGTAATGCAGAGCGTGCTAGAACAGGACTCGGCCAATTGTAGCAAGCGATGGCCGAGATAGATGCACCAAGGACCATGGCGAGCGATGGCATAATGGAGTGTTGGCCCTGTATGCTACCATTGTGCTCGAGAACATGCCTATGAGCTCGTATGCCGCCATCTGTGGATCGAACAGCAGCAACTATTTATGCACAAAGGCTTGGGCAAACCTCAAGACTATAACAGGTTTAACAACGTCTCAGTTCCAAACAAGCCAGTAGGTTCAGGTAGGAGAGGGGACCGTATAATGCCAAAATGAGGTGTGTCAGGGGCTGCCTGTTTTTCCTCTCTTTGCTTTCAGTTCTCCTTCTTTTCCTCGTTCCTCTTCTTATCACCACATTTTGAGGCAGTTCGCCATGTTCGTGCGCCTTTTGCCTAGCATTGTCTGCGTGTAAAGGAGTTATCTTCATTGCAATTACTTCCAACATCAAACCGGATTTTTATCTACCTCTCTAGTCCACTTTCCAGTTTTTACAACGTAAGGTACTTTACATGTACCTTGGGCTAACCTAACTTACTACTAGGTTGGGCCTACGAGTAGCCTGTTTGGGTGGTGGTTGGAAGGAGCAAGGAAGGTCAATGGTTCTTTTCAATTGGTTGCTAGGCGTCCAAGTGTATTCACTCCCGCAGATGGCATGGCCATTCACACTGCAGGTTAAGAAGTTTGACTCTGTGGACGTACGGATGCCGCTTTCCCGCTTTTCCGGCGGGTTTCCGATTTCTCCAGTCTTTGTTCTCTGTCTCCATTGGCTCATTTGCAGTTTGTTGTCAAGAAATTGCCCGGTCAGCGGTCTCAGGCCGTCGCCGATGTCGTTTAATAAGCCAGTTCGGCCTGTTGCGGTACGTCACCGGGGCTTAGCACGCTGCACATGTAAACTCCATTCTCTCTTGACCGATCCGTCCTGGTTAGGAAGGCCACATCGACTGACAACCAGAGCTTTATTCGTCCAAGAGATATGAACTTTCACTGCGCTGAAAGACACGGTTTTCTTCCTCGGCCAGACACACATCACGATATAAGGCGTTTTACATAGAGAAATTCAGCTACCCTTGCCCGCAACGTTGTCACTCAGAATGGCTTGGGCGTGATGCGTACGATGCCCCCGTCTTTCACCGTCATGGGCCAATACTCATCTTGGAAATGCTGACTAGTGAGCACGGCAACAGGTATGACCATGCCCGGCGCGTCCATTCCGGACGAGCAGGCCTTTGCGGTGCTCAAAGCGGCCGTTCGCTGCCGACGTCAACGTGTGGGCCGGGGCAGACTTCTACGGCACGCCGGAACATAATTCGCTGCACCTTCTCCCTCGCTACTTTGCGAGCTTCCCAGAGGACGCCGAAAGGTGGTCATCTGCATCAAGAGCGGCGTCATTGATATGAAGATGCTCACCATCGACGGATCGCCTCAGTCGGTGCGGCGCTTGGTCGCAGACGCCTACAAGGTCCTGGGCGACCACAAGAAGCTGGACATTTTCGGCATTGCGCGGGTCGGCCCCAAGGTGCCCGTGAAGGAAACGGTGAGGCGTTCGGCGAGCTGGTGGCAGCGGGCGAAATTGGCGGCATCCAACTGAGCGAGCTAAGGGCAAAGTCCTTGGCCTCGAAAACTTTGTGCACGCTCCGCACAAAGGCCATGACCTGCTCCACGTACGGAGACACCTCCTCCTTGTTGACAGGGTTAACAAAAGTAAACCTGCCGGTTTTACCGTTTCCCTTCTCACGGAAGAGCTGTCCGATGATCTTGCCGCTGTTGCCCTCTGCTACGGCATCGGCCGCGTGCTCGAGAGGCGGCCGGCCTTCGAAGGTCTTCTTCAGAGCAGCCACCACGGCCTCGTCGCCGTCGCGGTAGTCGACCACCACATCGCCCTTCTCGAGATCAACGAAGCTCTTGACGCGGTCGATCGGACGGCCAGCTACTGCGAGGATGGGGTGAACGTTGCTTTCAGGGCCAGCTGTAGGGCGTAGAAGCCGACTGAAGTCAAGGCACCGTATACGACTAAGGATATCTCAAGCGTTGGTAGTTGGGAGGTTGCAGCGTCCACGGGGGTGGGAGGGCAAGCTGCTGAAAAGGGGCTACCGCGGCGGTCATGGACGCGAGTGGGATCGCAGCTGCTTCTGTTTCGGCGGCCAAGATAGATTAACCCTCTGATATCCAGCGTCTAAGCGATTGGTTGGATCTCACCCTCGACGCTTGTCCTGTTTGAAATATGAAACGTTGTGTGCTGCGGAGCGAGGGAGAACTCGGCGTAGCTCCCGTGGGCGGCCATGAGTTCGTGGAGGGCAGCCACGCGGTTTCGGGGCTTGAACTCGAAGACGTAACCAAGCTTTGTTTGCAGGTGCCATTTTGCAGACGGTCTGAAGAGTTTAGAGTCGGGACATTTCAAGGAGCGTAACACCAAACCAATTGACCCCCGGCTTGGGGATCCATTCAGACACATGCGGCATAGTGTAAATCTCTTAACAGATAGACGCTTGAGTTCGGCGGTTTTAGGTGTCAGATGACCGGTGGGTTTACATTAATAAAAGATGTACAGGCAGGAGCTCACTTGTCTCTGTCGCGAACGTTGCTCAACTTGGAAGACTCCGCCGGGCCAGTCAGTCATGTTCGGGTGCCTCCTGGTACCTGAACTGCCACTGCTTGACGTTGTTTGCTAACTATCGATGCTCCTGGAATCTAGAGATTGGCCATCAGATACCGAGTCCAGAGCTTCGGGCAGAGATTCCCCTGTTTTCAGGGTTTCCCGAGTCAATTGTCTTTCTAACAACCCCTTATCTTCCAAAACTCCCATGACGATTCACATCAAGATGGAAAACGGCGACAAACAAAACCTGGATTTCTGCCCATCGTTCTCTCCAACGCCTTTTAGAGTTTCCGAACCGAATCGGGTATATACACGCCACTGCTCGGCTAGACCGTCCATCTTAGCTGCTGGCGACAACACGGCGCGGTCCTGGCCGACCATGACGACGACCTCATCTGCAGCGACAGAATGGTCGCTGTTCATCAGAAGACCGACCAACTGGATAAGAGCGTCCACCGCGACTGTGTCGCAGATCTTCCAAGCTGTGCTCTCCTCCCTGCCAGGCTGTTCGAGCGGCAACCGGACAGTCGCAACACCTTCCTGTTGGTTCAGCATGAGGGTGTGGATCGCCTTGAAGAAGGGGGCGTATTCCACCACCCGACCAAAGAGACTATATGCGCGCTTCGACATCAGCCTCTCGGCGTCTTCGCTGGCCCTCCTCTCGATCCGCTCCATGGCTCCCAAAACGAGGCGCTGGAGAGTATCGAGCACGGGGTTCTTGGTTTAGAGCGATCACCCCGTTCGCGTGCGTGGTTGCCCTTGGCTTCGCTGATGGGCCGCCAGCCCTCGGCGGGAAGCGTGCGGACCACGAATTTCCACGTAGTAACATCACCCACTGCTGGCTCAAGTTACAGCACCACGTCACCCTCGCTCGTGAAGCCCAGGGGTGCGCTGATGCTTCGGTCTCCAAACACAAGACTGGCGCCTTTACCGATAAGGTCGTTACCTGTGTCTTCGAGAAGCAGCTGCAGGGACATGGTGACGCATTCCATGTACATGAAAGCCGGACACAAGGCCCGGTGGCGCACTGCGCGGCCGCCCACGATCTTGCGGTATCGCTCAATTTCTGTCGATAGAGAACTCTGCGACGCCGGCACCGGACGTGGCACTCGTTGACGGTCTTGTCACCGTCTTGTCACCAGCCTCGCGGGGGCGATAGCACCTTGTCAATGCTCTGACCTGCCGCTGCTACTGCAGATGCTTGGTGCTGCAGCATAGTCTGCTTAGATCTCTATGACCCTTTCGACTTTGAGCAGCTAGTGCCGGGTTGATTCGAACTGGTACGGCGGGCGCCAGACCGGTCTGCACTCGAGACCGGCCTTGGAGTGTGCCATCAGTCGCCAGTGACTCGCGGAGAGCCCGTTTGCCCAGAGCCGGGACGTTACCCCAGCAATGGTGTCGACCGCCTTCGGGCTGCCCTGTGTCTTCATGGCGAAAAGGTGTGCGTCTCAGGTTTGCGTACCGCTTTGCTCGCCACGGGGGTGTTCACGCCGGCCTCCAACCAGAAGACGGAACTGCCCAGGCACTCCTCCACCCGGCGGATAGCCTCGGAGAAGAAGACGGGATTACGCGCATGACTCGCGGGACTGTATTCCTTGATGGTCTGAAGAGGCTGCAGGGCGCTTACCTCGCACGGCACCTTGGGCTCGTTCCATTGCAGGTATCGTGCCACGGCCGCCAGGTCATCAAGGATGGAATACGTCAGGGCCGAGTGTAAGGCATGCGTGGTGGCAAGGTGCCGACACGGACCTGCCGCAGGCGCGACTCTTTTCGCAACTCTCGGCCGCGTCGGTGGCTGCCGTGGTCCTGGCTACGACTAGCGCCGTCGGCGCGTTGTAGCACGCGATCTTGAGGTTGTGGGCCGTCGCCTGCTGCCGCAGAAGTGAAGCCATGTCTTCAAACTGCTAAACCGAGCAGGAGCTCAGGGCGAGCATGGCGCCCCTTTCCGGTCCGGCATAAGCCTCGATCAGCTTCGCCCGCGTCGCGGCAGGCTTGAGGGCATCCTTCTGGGAAAGGCGCCGCAAACGGCGAGCGCCGTCAGCTCGCCGAGGTTGTGGCCTACCACTGCGCATGGCCTCAGCCCGGCGTCGTTCCAGCACTGCGCACAGGCCTATTGCATGTCGAAGATGCTGCACTGCAGCGCGGCCACGCTACCGAGGGGTTCAGTCTCGAACATGGCCGGGATCATGGAGGAATAGCCAAGGGCTTAAATTGTGAATCGACGGCGTCGACGTGGAACCGAAAGACAGGGAGGTGGTTGTAGGAGGACGGATCCAAGCCGACCTTGTTATCGTACTGACCGCTGAACAGGAACACCACTTGCTTGACGTCCTGCTTGGCCGGCTGTGTAAAGACAGCCGAGCGCTCGAGAACTTTCAGGAGGCCAGCTGCGTCTTCGATACTCCGTACCTCAAGGCTGTGGAGAATCTGAAGCGACACCTCTTTTCGTTTAAAGTGAAGGTGACGTCAGCCAGCTTCAGCTTGGACTTGCGCCGGTGCAAGTAGTCTACTAAGACTCTTGCATTTGTCAAACAGGGTCTTTTCGGAAGCCGCACTGAAACTGAGCGGAGGGGCTAGATCCTTGGATCAAGCCCCATCGGCCGTCTCGCGATGATCGGGCATCTCGCAGCAGAGCAGGGCGCAGTTTGATCCCGCCGCACCATAGCTGTTCACCAGCGCCGCCCGGAATGGCACGTCACAGTACGCAGGCATGGGTGATGGCATCGCCGTCCCGCTCCAGCGGCGCAATTTCAGGGGTAAGTTTCTGGCTGTTGGCCTGGGGCGGAAGCTGGCCTTGCTTGATCATGGCCAGGAGTTTGAGCAAGCCTGTCACGCCGGCTGCCGTCTCGCAATGTCCGATGTTCCCCTTGATGGAGCCGATGTACAGACTGCTGTCAGACAGCTTTCTTCCGAATATGGACCGCACGCTTTCAATTTCCAGGGGTTCGCCTGCCTGCGTCCCCGTGCCGTGGGCCTCGACGTAAGCGACTGTCTCTGGGGGGATACCGGCTCGCTCCAAGACGCTCCGGTATAGCGCCTGCTGGGCGGCCGAGTGGGAGGCCGTAATGGAAGCTGACAATTCCCCCTGGTTGGTGGCCACGCCTGGAATCACGCCCAACATGGGGTCCCCGTCGGCGATGGCGTGCTTGAGTTTCTGATCACCACAAGATCGGCCACGTCGGAGCGGCAGTAGCCGTCGGCATCGGCATCAAAGGGCTTGCATTGTCCAGCAGGACTCCTGAGCCGGCCTTGGCTAGGTCCAGGAGTTGTTTATGCCCGTTATGATTTTGATGCCGCCCGTCAGTGCCAATCGACACTCGCCGGCTTGGACGGCTTTGCAGGCCCGGTTGATGGCCACCAGCGAGGACGAGCAGGCTGTGTCAATGACTTTGGCAGGGCCAGACCAGCCGTAGTGATAGCTGAGCCGGCCGCAGAGGAAGGCTCGGATTGTGCCAGTGCTGGTGTAAGCGGGAGGGGCATGGGCGCTGGTGTTGTCCAAGTACTCGACGAAACTCGCCCGATTAAGCACCCGACATTGTCTCCATCCTCACGGCAGTGAGTTTCCAGGTGGCCAGCGCCTTCAAGAGTCTTGTCGGCAAGTTCGAGCAGAATGCGCTGCTGCGGGTGCATGTTCACAGCCTCGCGAGGGTTGGCAGGTTGGCCCTGAAGAAGGCATGGTCAAATCGCTGGACATCGTCGATGAGATTTCCATAAAAGGTGCGCTCCTGATGAAGTTGCCGCTCTGGGTTGTCCGGAAGCTGCCGTGGATGTCGAACCTGTCGGTGGGGAGCTCTTCACGAAGGTCAGCCCCGGTGGCCATCATGTTCCAAAGCTCCTCGAGATTTCTGGCACCGGGCAGGCGGCACGAGGCATCCACAACCTAAGGGCATTGTCCGGGAAAGCTGGCATCTTCCCAAGGCGCTGTGTCCGAATCAAGCTGCGCGGCCGTCTTCGTGGGGCGGATGCCGCGCCTTGTGGAAGGGAGTCAGGGGCACGCAGTCGGTCAAGCCAAAGTAGACAAACGCCGGCGTGCTGCTCCCGCTGTGCTCCAAATTTTTGGCAAGCTCGCCGAGTAGGCTGTACCACTCATATCGAGACGCCAAGATGGTGGTGACGAGTTCCTCGGCCAGCGAGCCCTGATCAGCCGCTCGCCCGTCCGGTTGAATCGCACCCGGACCCGCAATTGCGAGTCGTCGGGAAGCTGAGGACACGGCGTTTCGGTGCAGAGACTGCACAGCTCGACGGCGAGTTGTGCATTTTCGGGGTTGTGGGCCTTACCGCGGACTTCCATCTTCTGCACCTGCAGCCCCTCGTGGTCTCGTGCGAAGCAATACAGCTCGTGCAGCTTTCCGGCCGGTTCGACAATGCTGGCAGACCGAGGCTCAGTGATAGCTAACACATGTGTGCGTGGAAACTGCCGAGTGAAGTCGTCGCCTTGGTCGTACTCGAGGCGCATGGCCAAGGTCGTGGATCCGGCACCGCCAGTGTCGTCTGCGGCCTTGCCGTAGGCACCGACGCCGAGCACAGTCCGCATGGCAGTGGCCTTGTGCTTTATGACTTCTTCGTTTTTCGCACATGAAATGGCCATGGTAGACTGCTGCGTGTCAGTCATGTCTCTTCCCGGAGCAACGAGAGCCCTCTCATACCGGCAGTCCACCACAGTAGCCTTGAATCCCGCCGGCGTTGGCAACACCAGCAAGGAAGTTGTCATGTGAGAGCCCATGGTGAGCGAGATTTCACAGATATTGCGTTATCTGCAAACTGAGAAGCATGGGAATGGCCACGATGCCTGACCTGGCCGCCGCCAGCCGGGCTGAAGTCCCGTTGGCAGCCCCGCCGTGGGGCATGTCGACATATTCAGGACCTTGACTCAGCGCGGCAACATCCTCCCTCGCGGCAGCTAAGATGGACCAGACTTAATCTGTCTCAAAAGCTGCGACTTCTCTCAGAAGCATTTGTCCATGCTGGTTCTCGCGGAGGAAAGAGTGGAGCCATCAAGGTATTCCTCGTCGATCATTTACCTCGTTTCCTTCCATCCACTCGCCAAATTTCCAGGCCCTAAGTGGTGGGCAGTTTCACGCATCACCGGGGCATACGATGTCATCGAAGGCGATCTGTGGGCGGTCTTAGACGGGCTGCACGAGAAATATGGCGCCCACAGTTCGAATCGCGCCCCATCAAACGACAACCATCACCCAGCCGCGTGGAAGTACATCTATGTGACGAAGCCGGTGCTCATGAAAGACACCTACGGTCTGACTCCTCCGGTCAACGGGGCACACTCGCTCTTCACCGCCGAGGGTGGCACACACCGGCGGCTCCGCGGCGCGCTGGTCAATGGCTTTGCCGACAGGTCACTGCGTGACCAGAAGCCCATCGCCGAAGGATACGGGAATCAACTGATCGCACTATTTCGCCGCGAGGCAGCCAAAAGCGCTGACGGGACAGTCGTCATCCAGAGGATGTACGGCTACGCCACTTTCGACACGGTCACCAACCTCAGCTTCGGCGAGTCCCTTCTCAACACGTTCGAGAGCGACACAGGGAACGACGAAATCCGGGATTTCTTCCTGCATGCCAAGTTCAGCACAATCCGGAACTGTCTCAGCCGCTTCTCGCAGCTAGACATCTTCTTACGCCTCTTCCTCTTTCGCGTCAGCCGCAAGACCCGGGAGCGCAACTGGCGCTTGACAACTGAGAAGATCAACAGGTGGCTGACGAGGAGCGACCTCCTGGCTCCGCTGGTTGGCAAGCTAGACGAGACAGGCGGCGTGAAGGGCATTATTATCATCAAGGCCGAGCTGACGACCAACCAGTTAGCTTTCGTCATTGCCGACTGCCAATTGACCACGGTTGCCCTCGCGATGGTTACCTACCTCTTGCTGCGCGACCCGCCCAAGTGGCAGCAGCTCGTTGAGGAGATCCGTGGCCATTTAACGAGCAATGACCAAATCACGGTGCTGTCCACGCAAGAACTTGCGTACTTGGAAGCCGTCAATGATGGGACAATGCGCTTCCGCCACCCCACACCTATTAGCTTCCGAGATGCGTCCCTCCAGAAGGACAGACGGTCGACGGCCAGTGAATTCCCGGCAATGTAAGCAAGTTCAGTCGGAGACGAGATTAAGAGAGACAGGGACCACTGACGGAGTGCTCTAAACCATCATTGGCATCAATTTGCAGAAACATCCAAACTACGCCAACCTTATGGGTTGAGCAGCATGCCTTCCACCCTGAGCGCTTCCTTCCCCAATCGGACCCACGGTATGACCATCAGTTTGACCATGATGTCAAAGCAGCTTTCATGCCGTTCTCAGCTGGCCCGCGAAACTGCCTGGGTTCAAAGTAAAAAGTAAGATGCACTTCCCTTCAAAGTTACCCAGCCCCATCATCTGCCAGTCTAACAACGCCTTGTTTTCCCAAACAAAGTGTTCCTGGCAAAAGCACGCGTCTTCCTTGCCAAGGTGGTCTGGAATTTCGACTTGGTCATGCTGGAGAACCAGGAGGATTGCCTTGACCAGAAGGTTTATCTCCTCTTTGAGCCCAAGCCCCTCGTGAAACTGAGCATTCCTGGGGATGCGACGCGGATGTAAGAGGAGAAGACAAAGGCCTTGGAAAAGTGATACAGCTCGTACCTACCAGCCATACCGGAAGCTCTTCATATACTAGGAAGAGCTTCATGTTGCGCCAAGAAGGGCTAGACATGCATCTCTCTACGTAGTGACGTCTAGGGGCGGCCTAGACCGTACTGGGATCCCCATCAACTCGAGTCAGTACAATGCGGCGGTCTGGAAACCAAGCCCGCCTCCCCGTTCACAGAGGATAAGCAACAGCTAGCAGGTTATGTCTTATTAGAGAAGTATGAGATGATGTCCGTCCACATCCAGACGAGTTTCATTCCTGCCGCTTTCCAGATGGTTGAGTCAGCTCTAGGGGGTTGGCTTGGCACGCGGAAGAGGTAAGTCACCAGGTGCCCTGCGCTCACATTCTGACGTCCACCCAATCCACGGACGCCAGCAGCAGAGCACCTCATATAGCAGTTGTCGCTTGTCGATGTGAGGAGATGTCACACACTAGACACAGGTACATGCATCAATCTCCGGTCCCTAGAACGGTGACCATATCTGGTGTCTCTTCTGGTCCTCCTTGTTCGTTGTCTTCCATATTCCACTCATAAACCCTCACCGTTCTGTACAGTACAGATAACTTCGTTGTACGTGTGGGTGCGCTTGTCGCAGCCGTTGCGGGCGTTGCGGCACACCCGCCTCCCCGTCCCACAGCTCAGTTGTTCTGGCATGGAATGACTTTGGTTCCAAAAGATCAATGGCATACTGGATCTCGTCGTTGTCGTTGACAGTATAGACTCCGGGGCGTCCTGAAGGTTCCTGTGCCCGCTTCTTATTCTTGAAAGCGGACCCGCCGATTGTGATGATTGTGTTGCTGGCATCGCTTCGCTCTTGAGTGCTGTCCGTCTGTGTGTTGAGCGCCGTCGATCCCCAGATCTTCTTCACGAGCGGGTATAGGCAGGGAATACATGCGCCGATGATAACGCAGTTGCTCTCTATGCTGCAGACGCAAACATTAGACAAGTTTGAACAAGCCGCAGGATTTTGAGTCAACTTACTTTGTCCAGAGTATAATATCATCAACAGCAAATGTGAAATCTTGGATGGCAAGTAGGCCACGTAGGGTGTAACACTTGTAGGAGGAGATGGCTGCGGCACTGGCCACGTTCGGTTGATCAGTTAGCAGCCCGGCCTCAGCTGGCAACAAGCATTTTCGCTGTAGGCCACTAACCAGTATCCAAACCCGAGCGCCAACGATAAGGCCAGTTTCTTTTTCCAGTTGAGGATAAGTTTGCTGATGATAATGGTGGGGTATATTGCGAGGTAAAAATCGAAGAACACCGAGAAGATGCCGTGAGCCACGGCGTAGCTGAATAGGATCCTCCGGTCCCAGCAGACTCCCTTGACGTCCCCCCATTGTGCTGCGGCCGGCGTACACTCAACGAAGTTGAGAATGGCGCCCCCGACCGAGCCGAGCAAGTACAGCAGCGATATGATCCAGAAAAAGGCTCTGTGCCATCGACCTGGGTTGAACACCTTAACGAGGAGGATGACGACGGCAAACTTGGGTAGGGTAAACGACAATATTCCTGGCACAGACGCCACAATTGCGTAGAAGATTGCTTTGGAAACATCGTCCTTCGGGAGTGTTGCGATATGCTTGCCGGCGCCATGGGAGATGGCGACAGCATCGAGACCGACGTATATGATAGTGAGAAGCTGTCAATTGCGAGGTGGATGTCTCAGCACTTGAGTGCTCTTCGACGTCAACATTTGCGGTATTGGGGACTCACGATGGAGAGAACGAGGAGATAGTCGTCAGCCCCTAATCTTGCCAAAGAGATTAGGCGACTGTAAACCCTCGCCAACACAAAGAGGGTGGCAATAGCTGTCATCGTAGATATAACGATAATAATCATTGGTCCCTTAGTTTCCTGGCCCCAACCTGGGTAGGGCTCGACAATGACTGTGGTAGTTGACATGTAGACGACAAGTTTGCAGTTTGATAGAGGATACGATTTAGGTGCGTTAGCACTGGAGAGAGGCTCGTTTTATTGTCCGGTGGCGTAATTTCCAGGCCTTGGGGCGAGCCCCTCAACTGAGTCACGTTAATCGTAGAGCAACCCAGATATCAGTGCCGGGATCCATAACTGAAGAGGAACGATGCGGAATCGTCTGTAGCGGAGAGTATAAGTCAGTGGCCTTATCTCATATACGTGTTCCTCACTTATGGGTTGTGAGGATGGATTTCAGTAGAAATAGCACATTGTATATAACGTTAGTAGGCTTGCGAGAGCGAGCGTTGTGTGGATGCAAGGGAACAACCATGATCCCATGCTTTGCCCTTGGGCTAGACTTGGGTTACGAGCACAGACTTCCAGAGTAAGCACGTGGCGACAGCCATTCAGAAAACAAACACGTGCAGCTCTCTAATGTACTGCCGTAACGAAAATAGGGTTGAGGTGGAATTCTGACTTCTGTTCAGGTGGCCAACCAACTCAACTAGAGGACGGCAGGGCTTGAGGGTAACGCGCATGCACAGTTCAGCAGAAATCGGAAAGGACGGATGTACAAGATTTGTTGGTCAAAGGAAAGCCCTTCTAATGTTGTCCGTTTGTAGACTGGAAAGCTCGTTCCGAGTGCCACATGGTATGTACTTTATGTGTAGACTAGTCCTCCAAAATCGCCTAGTATAACGTTAGCCGACACGTAACGCGCCGAGCCCGTCCCATTCACTCCACAAGACTCGCCACCGTTCTCGAGCGTGCCCTGCCACTGGCTGTGCAGGTGTGTGCACCCTCCGTCGGCGACATTGATGTCATAGCCATTGATGCCCGTCAAGATGCTAGTCGGCCTCTGCCGCCATCAACTCCCACAGTCCGAGGCCGCCCCTGATTGAATCTGCGGCGGGCGTGCCGTTGTCATTGCCGCAGCAAACGACTTTTGACTCGGCCTTGACCTTGACGCCATCATACTTCTGTGCGCCAGCCCCATACGTTACCCGCGTGGCGCGCCTTGTTCCCCTTCTCGATCTTGAGGCTGAATCCGGTTCCCGTCAGGTCCGAGATGCTGTAACGCAGACGGCCGTCATCGACGCGGACGCCGCGGCACGTGTAATCCATCGTGACGCACTACACGGCCGGGGGAGTGGGGGCATCTTGTACGGTTTGGTAAACACAACACTGGTAGGCGCCTGTCGCTTCCTCCTGGTGTCGGTAACTTCCGACTCAAAGTCATGGGTGATAAATTGAAGTTGACTTCGTTTTCAGGTAGTGTGAGCTACTAATAGGCGAGATGCGCAATGTCTGATTTTTAGATCGTCCTAAGGCTAAAACGGTCTGCGGAGACAGTAAGGCCATTGGTGTCCGGACTGTAGTTCCACGATACGGGCCGTGAATTGGACGGCTCGGTTCCATGGACCTTGCTGAAGGCATACAGTACTTTCGGCGGAGTGTGCTACGTCATCCCGAAGCGGCCAGCGTGCTCGGCCGTTTGGCCCGTGGTGAGGTTTTTGGCGGTTTTTCGGCCCCAACGAGAAGGCACGGGCCTGCGGCCGGACACTGTAAGTGTTTTCGGCACATTCGCCGGTTGCGGCGGCAGCACATAGCCCCAGATAAAGCCGGGGCGAAACACGGCGTTGCTGGCGTCACCAGTGTCAACGCTACGACCGAAGGAGCCCTTGAACATGCCCGGGCTGAGCGGGTAGTCGAAGTGGTGGACCTCAACGTCTCTATATTAGAAGCCGTCCTTCTTGACCTTGCCCTCGCCCGATGGCATGCTGTACCGCGCCTGAGCAAGAAGGCTGCGGCCGTGGTTCGTGAAGAGTCGGATGCCGAGGATCGCAGCAAAAGGCGCTGTAGCGCAGACCCATTTGCCGACCTCGATGGAGCCAGAGGTCACACGCTCACAGGGCGAAAAGGAGCCGATCTCAAAGTGTACTGCGGTTGAGTTGGGCTACCTTTACATGCGTTAGCCTGAAAGGGACAGCAAAAAACGACGGTTGGGATGAAACTCACATGGCCTTTCTTGGCGATGAGTTAGTTTTGGTATTCGACGGCCGGAGCCCGGACCATGCCCTCACCCACGTGGACCGTAATACTCTTTACCTGCCAGTCCTCGCGCAAAAAGTCTAAGTTGTTGGACATAGTGGCCCAATCGAGACTTCCTACCGCCCCCGTCACACTGAGGTGGTAGTCCGATCCTTAGGTCGAGTTTGATGCACTTAGCGAAGGCGTCGGCCTCCTCGTTCTCGATTTCGTCTCGCTAGATGGGTACAGTGCGGGCGCCTTGTCGAGATCCTCGAGCCGCTTCGCCTCCTTCTCACGCTCCTCCGTAACCTTATGCACATAATTGACAGTGTATGGGTTTTTCACCCGGCCCACGAGGGCGCGGTTTTCCTGTATAGTAAGTTGTTGAAGGTCCGGCACGCCCTAGGGCACAGCGGTGTAGGGATAATAATAAGGGCCTGTCTAGCAGAGCAGTGGGAATGTCTCGACGGGCCGTAAAAAGAGTGGGGCCACGGAAAAGATTTTCCCCGATGATAGGGAGTTTCAAGAGGTACATCGTACTATTGGAGACTCCCCATTTCATTCATGTGATCCACCACGACCTGCATCATTGTTTTCATCCAACTACTCTGTGATCTGCGACAAAACTGGTTCAATTGCTATAGTTACCCGCCTGCAACCTCGATACAGCTAAGTGCCTGGGACTCCTCCATTTCCCCTTGCTCCTCTTGATCGAACAGTTCATCCAATCGGCCCTCAAATGTATGGGGAATGACCCCATCTTCGTGCCCATCCTCATCCCAGGGAGTATCATCGTATGACTCGTGATTATCCTGCATCCACCGCCGGGAAAGCCTTGGTGCGATCGTAACCCCAGCCTCGTCATTGACGTTAGCCTCGGGGGCGACTGCCTCGTGATTGTGAATCTCCCGTTGGACAGTTGTACAGCCAATGTTAGCCCAGGAGCCGTCCTACTGGCGCTTGACGCTCACACGGAACGGGCAAGCCGTCATCTGGGTGCTGGTTTTCCGGCGCTTCGAAGGGTGGGTTGTGGAATCCGCTTGCGGGGTAGGGCCGGTCCTGCCCTTGCCACATCTGTAGGTGTAACGGGTAGCGGTGGTTGCGTCAGCGCCTCGAGGCCAGATCTCCTTGACTGTGAGGCTATATCCGTTGCTCAGGGCATGAGCCTTGATGGCCTCGTCAGCCTCGGCGAAGGTGGCGTAGGTTGCCGGCGGCGGCGGCGGGCCGCAGGGCGCTCCGGCGCCAGCTATTGGCAGCTGCTCTTGCCGGGAGTTCTGAGCTCGAGATAGGTCATCTTGGGGATCATGATCCGTGGATGTCGTGGGCCGGGAGCCGGACGTTGAAGAGGAGCAGTGGGGCACTGTCGGTGACGACGGCCGCAGAGCGTCCGAGCCATCGGGGACCCTGGGGGCATCAGGGAAAGCCGTCGGGAGCCGATCCATAGAAATATAGGGCAGCTGTACCCCGGGGAGGTCGAAAACAGGTTTGCAAGGGCTCTTGGCAGTAAATATGGGGTTGAAGCTAAGTTGGTTGATGGATCATGGTGTTCCAGGCACAGCCTGTGGTTCAGGTGCTGGGAAGCTAAGTTGGTTGATGGATCATGGTGTTCCAGGCACAGCCTGTGGTTCAGGTGCTGGGGAAGTCGAGATGACCCGATAAGATAACGTGCAATTTGGCTGTGTACCTTCTGTGATCCCCTAACATTAAGTTCCGACGTGGGCCTGGACGCCCCACTTTCCACGGCCCGTCGAGACATTCCCACTGCTCTGCTAGACAGGCCCAATAATAATTTGACAGTAGAAGGATGCTGAGCAGGGAGCAGGACGCCCACTACATCAATTGAGCGGGCTGCCATGTCTCCTGACTGTGTCATGCAAACTAACTCTAACGTCTTCCATTGAGCAGGCTCAGGCCAAACTTGCGAGCTGCGATGGCACCACGGAGACATGGTGGGCAACAACTCAACTCAACTCAACTCGGCCCTGAAATTGGGTTGAGTTGGGCCTCCGGCCAACCGAGTTGATTGAGGCGTGGGTGGAATTTATTTCGCCCGGAGGCGCGAAGCCTAAAGGGCTTTGGCACGCTAACTACATCCAATTCCTTGACGTTCAACCATCAACTCGTACAAGCCCCATTCACAAGTTGAGTTGAGTTGCCGAGTTGCAACTCAACGCCAAGTCCTTATGTAATACAGCAAAAAATATTAGTTATCCAGACCTGAGCACCCTACTCTCCAGCCCCCTGAGCCAAACCAGAACCCCCTACCACAGTCGACTCCACTGCTTGAGGCTTTCCACTATATTGATAGCATCATCATGTAGGCGGTGACGTTGATGGCCAACTGTGTGCTTGGCCCTGCTGAATACCCTCTCGCACTCTGAAGACATCGCCGGTATCGTCAACAAGTCCAACGCCATGATGGAAAGGCGTGGAAAGTCGCTCCTTCTGCCAGGGCTCAACCACCACTCCACAGCATCGTCAATTTCCTCAGGGTCTTCAGATAGGTAGGCCTGAAGCTCATCCCTGGTTGCAGGGTCCGGCCGGCGAGCGTAGAAAGTGTGACGATGCGGCACCAAGCGGTTGGTCCAGGCAGTCCGTTGACTGCCCGCTTGGGCAAGTCGGCGTTGTTCGGCAAGCAGCTGGGCAGCTAACTGAGCCCACTCGATGTCGCCTTGACGGCGTAGATTTCTCCACAGAGACCACAACACCAATGGAAGTTGGACCTTCAGCACCGGTTTTGCGATCCATCTCGACAAGGAAAACGTCGTAATCGGAAATCCACGATGTCCTCGGGTGCCGCTTGAGAAGCCGAGCTTGGATATACTAGGTTTTCTTGGACAGATGAACGGCCAGTCCTTGTAGTTCAGGCCTAAATCGCCGTCCTGGATGTTCTCCTGTGCCTTGATCTGTTGCAGGATGCTTTTGGGCCGCGCAAATATAGCATAACTGGGCCTTGTGGCAACTGCGGCAGTCGTATTAGCGTACGGTCGGAGGAGGTCTGGACAGTCGATAGCTCTGTCGAGAGGTCGGTGTCGGCAACAGAGGCAACGGAGGGAGGCATCGTGGGTTCGGTAAGTGGGTAGGTAATAAGGACAGGAAAGTCGCAGTCGGCTTGGATGGATGGATGGAATTTATTTCGCCCGGAGGCT